AAGTCCGAGTGATGACGGACAACAGACATAGAACGTCAACAACATGAGAGGGAAGGCAGGATATGTTAGACGCCGATGTTAGACACAAGACCTTCAGACTAGACTAGAGAGAATGTGGAATATGAGGAGGAGTGATGAGATATATTTTATTATTACATATTGTATTAATTGATACATGTATACTTAGTGTAAGTCAAGATACTAAACGTATGTGTTCGTTTCCATTATTACAGCTCCCATGTGACGATCAGTCCATGCACGAGACTACATTGTGGTAGAACTCGGGCAGCTGAGAACGAGGTGGGAATGAGGTGGAGAACCAGGTGGAACCAGAAAAACTGGGAGGAAAAGTTGGAACAGCTAAGAAGGGACTCAACACGAGGGCTCTCAGAGGTTCCACTTTCTAAAATTGAATAAGTTACGTACCATTATGTTTTTATGAGTGTAAACTTATCACCACCATTAACACTTCACTCTAATCTTAGGTGCTCAGTTATCTAGCTGAAGCCTCTCATTACCCCCATACCATCACTGTTTAAAATAATGATGATGACTAATGTCATCCACTGATTGCTAGGTTAATAAATCAAATATATGGTCTTATCCTGCATCAGTTTTTGTAATTCCAAATGTGTCTGTTCGTACATGTTTAATTAAACTGTTTAGAAAGAAAGAATACCATTTGGTGGGGGCTCAAATAATAATTCTTTACCGATAGTAGGTGGGACGGAAGGGGTCATTTGTCCTGTCTAATAATTCATTCAATATAATGATATAGACATCTAAAACCCCTTTCTTTCTCCTGTGGGTACCAAGTGCAGCTAATGTTAAAGTAATTAACGAGCCAATATGGCTGTTTCCTTGGATATCCAGGACTTTGTCTGAGAGCAACATAGCTCGGATATTAGTTCAGTTAATCTGGTGGAGGGGATATGTTGAGAGGAAAATCCCTACTCAACATATAAATCATTAAACCCACAACCTGTTACATCACACTGGGCGCTCGCTGGGGATGGACTTGGCTAATCACTCCTAGACTAATGAAAGTGATTTAATAAATTTTAGAGTAATAAATCACTTTTAACTAAAATTAATAAATGGATGGTATCATGTCTTTCATTGATCACTTCATAACCATTGATTATTGTTTATTCAGTAAATTTTGGAGTTGATGATTATGATTATATCTGCTTGCATGTTTCATCATTTGACATAGATTGTAGAGCATTGAATGTTGACATCATATCATTGATAGTTATGCTTAGTGACTGAATGTAAAATCACATCACATCATTAACCGGCGTATCCTTTGTGCTGCTATAATATTCTATAAGCTGTCAGTCTGGTAGGCCACTTTGATTCATTTACATCTTTGTGCGGTTGTCATAGGCTACTCTTTTGTCCAGTTTACTGTACCTTGCTCTGATATTCTTTCAATCCGGACTCGGGGTAGTATTATATTTATCTCTAGATAGATCTAATAAGATAGAATGGACTTATGCACTGAGTACAGAGAAGATGTAAGGAAATGCGGGATAGCTGAGGGCAGGGTAGGAGCATAGTTAGAAACATTTGTTAAATGCCATATGGATACTTTCGATTACATGGTTGCCCGTAATGCAGCAGAGAAGAAGCGCCAGTTGGAGAAAGAAGAATGGGACTCGATGCTTGCCCATCGTGCAGCGGAGAGGGAAGAAGAAGAGAGCACGTGGCAACTTGAAGAAGAAGAAGAAGCTAGACAGTTGCAACTCCAAGAGGATGCAGCTAGTGAAAGAATGAGGCTTTTTCAAGAAAAGCTGCATAACTATCGGCTACTTAGGCAGACGAAGAGAGAACTGTAGTTAGACACAGGGAACGGTGAGAACACCATCAGGGCAGTTGAGGGAACTGACACCTCCCATACGGACACTCTGGTAGAAAGGTCTGGGACTCACTCTTTCAATGGAGAGGTGTGTACTATTTCGCCAAACGGTACCTCATTAAGGGATGAAGTAATAGACCACCCAAGACCTTGCCTCACCCCTCTTATTCCTAATAGGAAAAGAGTTGACATCAAGAAGAACTCTTCTGTAGGGATGACCGGATCTACATTGCTGGCCCCCTTAACTTCCATTCTTAAGCCTAAAAGGAAAAGATGGAATAAGAAGCAGAAATCTTCAAAAGGGACCGGATCTACATTGCTGGAACCCCTTCCTCCCATTATCTCAGATGAGATAAATGAGAGCACACCTGACAGTAATCACAAGCGTGATAACTGTTCTAGCCGTAGACATAGCGGTTTGGCTGGCACACCAGCCATTAATGAGGACAAGGGCAAAGACTTACCCAACTCCCATGTTCCCTTTGGTCCCTTCAAGCAAGAAGAGGAATAAAAGCAGACTAATGTAGGGTATTACACTGAACCTGTTTCCCATATTTCCATGGATGCGATCGCATACAAAATGGAGTTTGTTAGTTCTGACTTTTCACCCAAAGGAGTTGACTGCAATGGCAGCAACAAATCCCCTTTTTTGCCTCCACTGGACTTGGCATATGAAAGCCAGACCAGGGCGGATACAACAGATGAGGAGGAGAGTTCTTAAGGTCTTGACAATCTTAGAGACTTTGAGCAAACAGGACATTTCTGCAAGTCCTGTGCACTCTGATAATGGACAGACAGAAATGTTTGCCATTAATGAAGAAGAAAGTACTTCTTGTGAGCAGGGAGACAACTTGTCTCTATCCTGTACAGCTGGCGCGACAGGGATACTTCGGATGAAAGACCCTGAAGCGAAACAAGCCATGAGTAATAGGGAACCCCAACATTCTGGTCTTGTAGTACTCTTTGCTTTGAAGGAAGTGACAGGGGTATCTCAGCTGTAGTGGAAACTTCATTGCGAAGAAATGCCACTTTACTGTCTGCAGGAAACCCTGAGTTTCCTAATGATTTGACTGTACACCCTGACTTGATTTTGTGCCCTGATTCTGGATGGAACTTTAGTAAAGAGAAATCTACCCGGACAGTTTGTGAAGGGAAAGACAGGATGCACCGAGGAGAAAACAAGTGGACACTCTTCGAAGAAATGGTCAGTGGTCAGTTGCGCACATAGCATGCGATCACCATGAGTGAATATCTTCCTCATTTTAAGAGGCGAGTTGTGACAGATTTTTCCAGGATCTGTGGATGGAGGAAAAGAGAGTCCAACTTGACTGCAACTCATCCTTTTCAGAGAGCACTTCAGGCCCGTCCTATGCAGATGGGCGTGGCAAAGTAAGGAAATGGACAGCGACTGTCAGTCAACGGCATCGAGGAATCCCGTTGACGAAGCAGGGATCTATTCTTATCCTATGGGAGAAGAAACCTCCAGATAAATGGACATTACTGAGCGGCTGCTCGGAATACCCGCATGATTCTAGGACTAAGGACTTAGCCTGGAAAGAGGGACAACTGGTGACTACACTGATGCAGGACATCATGATTCCACAAGGAATACTGGCAAAGGAAATACTGGGACAGCAATGGAACTGACAGGGTGTACTAACATTCTTGGAAATCACTGAGTGTCGAAACATTGGTCTTAGCTGGCTACGACCAACTTCAACGGAGGGCCTGTCACGAAACGACCTCAGTGGTTTCAGAAGTTAGTACGTGGAATAATTGCTTCTGTTTTTTTAGAGATAAAGAATTATATTTACTATGCCCTTAACCCAAATATTATTAAAACCGCAGGGATTTAATTGTTACCAGTCCTTAGCCCAGACAAAGCAACACAGGCAGCTGTCTCGGTTTCTCATTTGACTTGCATTGAAGGTAGGATTTAAACCAACACAATTTGTTCCATGACAGTTCCAACAAACAATGGCCACCGCTAGAATACATCATAAAAGAGTCAACTGGTGGAATGTGACATGAAATGAGTGACAACTGATAAAACTGTCATGAGATGAGAGAAAACTGAGGGAATGTGGCATGAAATAAGTGACAATTTGTGGAACGTAGCATGAAATGGGAGACTACTGGTGGAATGAGGCATAAGATGAGAGACAACTGGTGGACTGGCACATGAGATAAGTGAAAACTGGTCGAATGTGACACACCATATGAGATAACTGATGGAATGTGGCATGAGATTGGCGACAATTGGTGGAATGTGGTACCAGATGAGAGTCAACTGGTGGAATGTTACATGACCTGACAGACAACTGGTGGAATGTGGCATGACCTGACAGACAACTGGTGTAATGTGTCGGGTGATGAAAGACAATTGGTGAAATGATGCATGAGATAAAAGACAAATGTTGCAATGTGGCATGCGATGAAAGACAACTGGTGTAATGTGGCATGAAATGAGAAACAAATGGCCGAATATGGCATAACATATGAGACAACTGATGGAATGTGGCATGAGATGTAAGACAACTGTTGCGATGTGGCATGAGATGACAGACAACTGTTGCGATATGGTAAGGGATGAAATACAACTAATGGAATGTGTCATGAGATGAGAGACAACTTGTGGAATGTTGCATGAGATGACAAACAAATGTTGCAATGTAGCATGAGATGAGAGACAACTGGTGGAATGTGGTATGATATTAGAAACAACTGGTGGAATGTGGTCTAATATTAGAAACAACTGGCGGAATGTGGTATGATATGAGAAAAAACGTGGAATGCGGCAGGACATGAGATACAATTGGTGGAATGTGGTATGATGTGAGATACAACTGGTGGAATGTGGTATGATATGAGATACAACTGGTGGAATGTGGCATGATATTAGAAACAACTGGTGGAATGTGGTATGATGTGAGATACAACTGGTGGAATGTGGTATGATATGAGATACAACTGGTGGAATGTGGTATGATATGAGATACAACTGGTGGAATGTGGTATGATATGAGATACAATTGGTGGAATGTGGCATGATATTAGAAACAACTGGTGGAATGTGGTATGATATGAGAGACAACTGGTGGGGTGTTGCATGAGAGATAGTACAAATACTTGCACCTACCTCCCCTAAGATTCTGAACAGTGAACTTTTGCCACATCCATTAGGTCCACATACCAATACATTTTTGCCAGATGTCACCTATGTAATGAAATGCTTCAAATTGTTTATACAAATAATCCACCTCTTATCATAAAGATAAAAAAGAACTCTCCATTCACACGGAAATTTGTTAAATATCTATCCAACAACAAACATCTCTCAACTCACACAACAATGTGCTATATGTCTAACGAACAACAGTCATCCATCTTTCAACTTACACAACAATGAGTTATAAGTTTACCTAACTACAAGCAACCATCTCTCAACTCATTCAATTATGGCCTAAATGTCTAACCAACAACAGCCGTCCATCTCTCCACTTAACAACAATGTGCTATAAGTCTAACCAACAAGAGGCAACCATCTCTCAACTCGTACAATAATATGTCATATGTCTAACCAATAACAGGCAACCATCTCTCAACTCATACAATAATTTGCTATAAGTCTAACCAATAACAGGCAACTATATCTCAACTCGTACAATAATGTGCTATATGTCTAACCAATAACAGGCAACCGTCTCTCAACTCATACAACAATAAGCTATATGTCTAACCAACAACAGGCAATCATCTCTCAACTCATAGTATACAACAATGGGTAAAATGTCTAGCCAATAGCAGCTAACCATCTCTCAGTTCATACATTATAAACATACACATGTGTGTACATGAGTGCCATTATGTGTCTGTGTGTGTGGCTGCGTGTGTATCTGTGTCTGTCTGTGCATGTCTGTGTGTGTCTCTATGGGTGTGTCTATTATATAATGTCTGCATGTGTTTGTGTGTCTGTCTGTCGGTTTATGTGTCTGCATGTATGTCCGTGTGCTTGTTTGTGTGTGTATCTGTGTATATGTGAGTGTTGCGTATGTCCCTGTGTGAAAAAGTCTGTGTGTTTCCCTGCCTGCATGTGTGTACGTGTTTGTTTGTGTGCCTGTGGCTTTGGTGTGTGTCTGTGTGGGTTTATGTCTATGTGTGTCAGTGTGTGTGTGTTTGTAGGTGTCATTTTTGTGCGGCTACGTGTGTGTATGTGTGTGTTTGTGCGTGTCTGTATGTGTCTGGGTTGTATGCGTGTGTATTTGTGAGTGTCTGTGTGGGCGACTGTGTGTGTGTGTATGTATGTGTGTGTATATGCATGTATGTATGTGGATGTGTATGTATGTGTGTATTGGGTGCCTGTGTGTGTGAGTGAGTGAATGATTTTGCGTGTGTATGTGGGGGCTATGTGTTTGCGTGCAAACGTGCGCATGCATTTTACCACCCATGCTTTTGTTTTTACTTGAAATTCATAATATGCATATTATTACATGAACATGTTTTATTGATAAAATACAACTGCTGTGTGAAAGATGGAAGTTTGTAAGGGTTGAATGTAAGACAGGCCTGGGTGCCTAATGTGTGACCCTTTGAAAATAAAGTTCGTTCATTTGTTCATTAAGGACCTAGATCTGTAACTTTCAGCCATTTACCTCAAAGCTCAGTTCTTCAATGAGTACATCACCATTGGGTGTTACTAAGGGAACACGGTCAAACCTGCAATATAGCATTGAAACATAAACTCTACAGACATGATTGTTTTCCGACAGTTGATATTTATGTTGGGCTCACTTTGCTAGATGACTAACTCACCACTTCATGAATGACTCACATCTCAGAGATACTGTGACTGGTGACTAACTCATCACTCAAGTGAACTACTCAAATCTCAGAGATACTGTAACTAATGACCAACTCACCAACACAAGAATGACTCACATCTCAGAGATAATGTGACTGATGAATAACCCACCACCTTATGAATGACTCACTTATCAGAGACACTATCACTGATGACTAACTCGGCACTTCATGAATGACTCACATCTCAGAGATACTGTTGCTGCATGATGATTAAGTCACCACCCCATTAATGACTCACATCTCAGAGATAATGTCACTGATGACTGACTTACCACTCCACAAATGACTCATATCTCAGATATACTGTCAATGATAAATAACTCACCACTCCACAAATGACTCATATCTCCGAGATACTGTGACCGATAACTAACTCACCACTCCAGGCATGATTCACATCTCAGAGATACTGTGACTAGTGACTAACTCACACTCCACATCAACCTAGGAAGAAGGTAACAACCACTCAAAGATAAGCTAGCAACAGCCCAGCCAGTGAGAAGGCCGCAACAGCCACTCAAAGATAAGGTATCAATAGCTACAAACACAGCAACAGGTAGCAACAGCCACCCAGGAAAAAGACAACAGCAACTCAAAGATAAGGTATCAACTGCCACACAGGGAGGAGGTAGCAAGATCCCCTTAAGGAAAAGGTAGCAACAGCCCCTCAGAGAAAAAGTAACAACATAGGGAGAAGGTAGCAACAGACACACAGGTAAAAGGTAGCAAAAGTGACCAGGGGAAGGGCAGCAGCAACCACCCAGGGAGAAGGTAGCAACAGCCACCCAAGGAGAAGGTTGCAAAAGCCACCAGGGAGAAGGTAGTAACAGCCATCCAGGGAGAAGGTAGCAACACCCATCCAGGGAGAAGGTAGTAACGGTAACTCAAAGACAGCAAGCTGCATACTACAACCTGACAAAATAATCACCAGGAAATGTCTCAGGCTTCTCTTGTGCAGCTGACACAAATGTAACCTACTTGATGATGTGGTCTTTGATGATGATGTTTCCACTGCCTGGTCTCAATGTCACTTGTTTCTGGTTGTTGGTACCAACTGACCACAGAAATAACAGAGTAAAACATCTTTATACGCAATACATGATCTGATGATAAACAATTATAACCAAGCAAATGCATCAAATTGCAATTACACTATATTATGACCCTTATTTTAGTATAATACTAAATTTATATCTCAGTAATAAATATGTAAATCTCAAAAATAAATATGTGTATCTCATTGCCTTCGATCCAAGGACTTTCCCATGTTTCTGTACCTTACACTGGAGTGCTGTGCTACTGCGCGACTCTGGCTAGCCTGAGTGGACAGACCATGTCACTTAACCAAAAAACCTTTTTTGTGAACCCCCTTGTTAACATACATAGAATGCCAGTATAATTATAGCCTATCTCTCACTAACACATAAATTATCCTACCGTCAAGCTAACACACTATCACAAAATACCTGTGGTGAACTGAGGTCACATAGTGACACATCTACCAGTCATAAATGTCACAGGTCTTGTTCAAGTCTTACTGATCAACTCCCCAAAAACCTGTTTGTCTGCTCCTTTTGTTGAGTCCACCACTCACTGCCCGGTCTGACCTTGTGGACCTCATTGTGATCAGTTCATTCGTCTCGCCTGTCTGGTCAAGTCTCAGTGGGCTATTGAACATGCAGTCACTATGTGGTCAACTAAGTACTAGTCCACTATTCACCATCATCATACACTGTCATCTCATAGCCACCCAGAAACCTGACAATCAGTAATAAATATGTGCATCTCTTTGATAAATATTTGGGGCTCAGACATAAACGAATGTACTTCAGTGATAAATGCATATACCTCAGTAATAAATATATGTGTGTGTGTGTGTGTGTATAGCAGATGAATAAATATGTATATCTCTGTAAAAATAAAGATTTATCTCAGTGATAAGTAAGTATATCTCAGTAACATCTCAGTAATAAATATGCATCTCTCAATAATAATTACGAATGTCACAATAATAAATACGTACATCAGTAATAAATGTGAATATCATGGTAATAAATATATATACCTCTGTAATAAACCTGTATTGCTAAGTAACAAATACTGAGACAATCTGTTTCAAGAATTACCTTTTCCATGGTCTACATTCACCATTGTTCTCTCATAGCGCCCTGCATTCAGATCATTTAAGACTTTAATGAGTTCCGTCACTCGTGCCGTGAAACTGCAAAATGTTCATCAAAAGTAGAGCACCAACATTAATTCTGGTCACAGGCATGTACTTCAACCGTATAGTCACTCAAAAAAAAAATCTGTATAAAAAAAAAAAGCTACAATTGCACATACAAAAGTTACATCTATAAATAAACAAATGCTACACTGTATAAACAAATGCTACCACTGTAGAAACAAATGCTAAAACTGTAAAATTAAATGCTACACCTGTATAAACAAATGCTACAATCCTTGAAACAAATATTACAGCTGTACAAACCAATGCTACACTTTCTAAACAAATGTGACACCTGTATAAACAGATGCTAAAACTATTTAGACAAATGCCCAATGTGCAGTGACATTAATTGTGATAACAAAACATAAAATAACATCTTAGTAGGGAGTTGGCAGTAGGAAACCCAAGTTCAAGGTGTCTCCTTCGTACCAAAGAACTCCATGGCTGTTGGGTGAACAGTCGTTAACGATGGCAGACAGGTCGTTGTAGGGGCGACGCCTGCTGGTGGATGTAATGTCCTAAGTCCCTTCCCCAGCTAATAATGAGGGTACTGCTGGGGTGACCGTTTATTAACCCTCATATAATTCTTCCGGTCAAAATGGACGCTAGGCACGGCTACCTTTTTTTTTTAAAGCCGTGGCAAATGTTTTTTTTTTTCTTTTGCCAGACGGTGGCCGTTGCATTTTTGCTCCATTTGTAGACTGGAAGGATGTAGTTTCGTCGCCCAGCTTCTGAGTTGAGTGCATGGCGTGACACTGTGAGCTGCATTTGTTTTTCGTTGGCACAGGAGCAGAGCATCTGTGGGGTGACCCGTTTGCTATAAAGCTGAAACTAGGATTACCAGATTACCAGACAAATGCTACAAATATATAAACAAATATTACACCTGCATAAGCAAATGCTACAGCTGTATAAACAAATGCTACAAATGTATAGACAAACGCTACATCCATATAAAGAAATGCTACACCTGCTTAACCATTGCACTGCTACAGACTCTGCAGCCATGGTTACCACTGCGCTCAGCAAGTTGCCTGCTGGATATTTTTCTATCCTCTAAATGCAGAAGATGCACTGGTGATGATGGCTAGATTGTGTACAACTAAAAACATTCATCCTAGCAAAATGGGTGCTTGATCTAGTGTTGATCCTAGCAAGGTGAGTGCTTGATCTAGTGTTGACAAGTCAGACATACTATGGTGATGCTAAGAAACCTCGCCATTACAGAAAGTAACTGTTAGTAACCAGATTGAATTGCCTGGCTTTACTAGGAATAGTGAAAGAAAATATATCCTCTGCTAAATCTAATTCATCATTGTCTCTACCGCTGCAGTCTATGCAGTAGAAATTCTATGGAGGAGCGAGCACAACAGTAGCCCTCCAATTGTTAGCTGGCAATTTTTTTTTTTTTTTGTGGCCCCTTCGCCTTCCTTACAGAAGTACAGGAAGATAGTGCAAGACCACTGTTATTCTCCTGTCCTCTAGTTCATTGTTGTCTCCACCGCTGCCACATGTTTAGTCGCTGCCCCTAAGTGCATCTGAGGCTCTTACCACCCCCTGGCCTGTCCCAGCACCACACAGCCCAGACAGACGAAGTCTAGGCAACCATTAGTATAAGACAGAGAAGATGGTGCTACACTGGATACTTCCTGAGAAGAAACCAGCAGAGTATTGTAAATAAAGGGATTAAAGAGGAGAGGATAGCCAAAAGAAACCCTGAGATGAATGTTGATAAGAGAGGCCAAAGTTGCTGGACTGGATTCCCTCCATGATTTTAAACTGACTGCACAGGACAGAACACAATGGAGGAACAGACTGCCAGCCCTATGTGACACCTAATGGCATAACAGGAAAGAACACAATGGAGGAACTGACTGAGAGCCCTAAGTGACACCTAATGGCACAACAGGATAGAACACAATTGAGGAACAGACTGAGAGCCCTATGTGACACCTAATGGCACAACAGGACAGAACACAATTGAGGAACAGACTGAGAGCCCTATGTGACATCTAATGGCATAACAGGACAGAACACAATTGAGGAACAGACTGGGAGCCCTATGTGACACCTAATGGCACAACAGGACAGAACACAATGGAGGAACAGACTGCTAGCCCTATGTGACATCTAATGGCATAACAGGACAGAACACAATGGAAGAACTGACTGAGAGCCCTATGTGACACCTAATGGCACAACAGGAAAGAACACAATGGAGGAACAGACTGAGAGCCCTATGTGACACCTAATGGCACAACAGGATAGAACACGATGGAGGAACAGACTGAGAGCCCTATGTGACACCTAATGGCACAACAGTATAGAACACGATAGAGAAACAGACTGCTAGTCCTATGTGACATTTAATGGCACAACAGGATAGAACACAATGGTGTAACAGACTCAGAGCCCTATGTGACATCTAATGGCACAACAGGAAAGAACACAATGGAGGAACAGACTCAGAGCCCTATGTGACACCTAATGGCACAACAGGACAGAACACAATGGAGGAACAGACTGAGAGCCCTATGTGACATCTAATGGCACAACAGGACAGAACACAATGGAGGAACAGACTCAGAGCCCTATGTGACACCTAATGGCACAACAGGACAGAACACAATGGAGGAGCAGACTGAGAGCCCTATGTGACACCTAATGGCACAACAGGAAAGAACACAATGGAGAAACAGACTGAGAGCCCTATGTGACACCTAATGGCACAACAGTATAGAACACGATGGAGAAACAGACTGCTAGCCCTATGTGACATCTAATGGCACAACAGTATAGAACACGATGGAGGAACAGACTGAGAGCCCTATGTGACATCTAATGGCACAACAGGACAGAACACAATGGAGAAACAGACTGAGAGCCCTATGTGACATCTAATGGCACAACAAGACAGAACACAATGGAGAAACAGACTGAGAGCCCTATGTGACACCTAATGGCACAACAGGAAAGAACACAATGGAGGAACAGACTCAGAGCCCTATGTGACATCTAATGGCACAACAGGACAGAACACAATGGAGGAACAGACTCAGAGCCCTATGTGACATCTAATGGCACAACAGGACAGAACACAATGGAGGAACAGACTGCTAGCCCTATGTGACATCTAATGGCACAACAGGATAGAACACAATGGAAGAACTGACTGAGAGCCCTATGTGACACCTAATGGCACAACAGGAAAGAACACAATGGAGGAACAGACTCAGAGCCCTATGTGACATCTAATGGCACAACAGGATAGAACACAATGGAGGAACAAACTGACAGCCCTATGTGACACGTAATGGCACAACAGGACATAACACAATGGAGGAACAGACTGCTAGCCCTATGTGACATCTAATGGCACAACAGGACAGAACACAATGGAGGAACAGACTCAGAGCCCTATGTGACATCTAATGGCACAACAGGACAGAACACAATGGAGGAACTGACTCAGAGCCCTATGTGACATCTAATGGCACAACAGGAAAGAACACAATGGAGGAACAGACTCAGAGCCCTATGTGACATCTAATGGCACAACAAGACAGAACACAATGGAGAAACAGACTGAGAGCCCTATGTGACACCTAATGGCACAAGAGTATAGAACACGATGGAGAAACAGACTGCTAGCCCTATGTGACATCTAATGGCACAACAGGAAAGAACGCAATGGAGGAACAGACTCAGAGCCCTATGTGACATCTAATGGCACAACAGGACAGAACACAATGGAGGAACTGACTGAGAGCCTATGTGACACCTAATGGCACAACAGGATAGAACACAATGGAGGAACAGACTGAGAGCACTATGTGACATCTAATGGCACAACAGTATAGAACACGATGGAGAAACAGACTGCTAGCCCTATGTGACATCTAATGGCACAACAGGAAAGAACACAATGGAGGAACAGACTCAGAGCCCTATGTGACATCTAATGGCACAACAGGAAAGAACACAATGGAGGAACAGACTGAGAGCCCTATGTGACATCTAATGGCACAACAGGAAAGAACACAATGGAGGAACAGACTCAGAGCCCTATGTGACATCTAATGGCACAACAAGACAGAACACAATGGAGAAACAGACTGAGAGCCCTATGTGACACCTAATGGCACAACAGTATAGAACACGATGGAGAAACAGACTGCTAGCCCTATGTGACATCTAATGGCACAACAGGAAAGAACGCAATGGAGGAACAGACTCAGAGCCCTATGTGACACCTAATGGCACAACAGGACAGAACACAATGGAGGAACTGACTGAGAGCCTATGTGACACCTAATGGCACAACAGGATAGAACACAATGGAGGAACAGACTGAGAGCCTTATGTGACACCTAATGGCACAACAGGACAGAACACAATGGAGGAACAGACTGAGAGCCCTATGTGACACCTAATGGCACAACAGGACAGAACACAATGGAGGAACAGACTGAGAGCCCTATGTGACACCTAATGGCACAACAGGACAGAACACAATGGAGGAACAGACTGAGAGCCCTGTGTGACATCTAATGGCACAACAGGATAGAACACAAAGGAGGAACAGACTGAGAGCCCTATGTGACACCTAATGGCACAACAGTATAGAACACAATGGAGGAACAGACTGCAAGCCCTATGTGACACCTAATGGCACGAAAGGATAATGAAGGAATATTTCACTGAAACCAATCATAAAATCGGCTATATTTAAAAGTAACTGCCTGTTTCACCAGGGCAGAGCTGGTGAACGACCATTACCTTAAATCTGCATAACTCTGGACTGAACCAGTTTATCATTATGCTTCTGTGTACTGCAAAAGTCTGCAGTTAGTTGTGATATGTAGAATTCAAAATGCATAATCCTTGTTCAGAATGCGACCAGATTTTAATAGGTGGCAGTGGACAGCAGGCGATCTTTTCTATCGGTCACCTTATTCGTGTCTGTTGAGTTGTTACTTTGCATTGCTTTTACCCCAAAAGTGGGATATGCTCAGATACTTATTTTCCCAGTTGTTCAGTTCAGCCTATACGTACAGCATTACAAGTGCATTTGAACTCAAAAATACAATTATACCTGGCATATGTCAACAATGGGGCTTTCATAGGTAGTTTAGAATTACAGTAGTTTTAAATCCAATAACAGGCATGATGCATAGAAAGTTTGACTGATTGATGCAGTGAGAGCGTCATTTAATAATTATTTAATATTATCCCCCTCAAAAAGTTAGATGGAAATAAACTGGTTTTTTTTTTAATTTTTTTATTTGGCACTAACATCTCTGTGATAGTTGGTTTAGGTGGCTGATCGTGGTGCTAAATAAATCCAGCTTGACACCCATTAGAATGCAGTGATTGTTTGAACCTTTAAATACTGTCCGTAGTGTACTGTCAGAGCTGGAACAAATACTGGCTGTAGTGTACTGTCGGAGCTGGAACAAATACTGTCTGTATTGTACTGCCGGAGCTGGAACAAATACTGTCTGTAGTGTACTGCTAGAGCTGGAACAAATACTGTCTGTAGTGTACTGCCCTAGCTGGAACAAGTACTGTCTGTAGTGTACTGCTAGAGCTGGAACAAATACTGTCTGTAGTGTACTGCTAGAGCTGGAACAAATACTGTCTGCAGTGTACTGCTAGAGCTGGAACAAATACTGTCTGTAGTGTACTGCCGGAGCTGGAACAAATACTGTCTGTAGTGTACTGCTAGAGCTGGAACAAATACTGTCTGTAGTGTACTGCTAGAGTTGGAACAAATACTGTCTGTAGTGTACTGCTAGAGCTGAAATAAATACTGTCTGTAGTGTACTGCTAGAGCTGGAACAATTACTGTCCGAATTGTACTGCTAGAGCTGGAACAAATACTGTCTGTAGTGTACTGCTAGAGCTGGAACAAATACTGTCTGTAGTGTACTGCTAGAGCTGGAACAAATACTGTCTGTAGTATACTGCTAGAGCTGGAACAAATACTGTCTGTAGTATACTGCTAGAGCTGGAACAAATACTGTCTGTAGTATACTGCTAGAGCTGGAACAAATACTGTCTGTAGTGTACTGCCGGAGCTGGAACAAATACTGTCTGTAGTGTACTGCTAGAGCTGGAACAAATACTGTCTGTAGTATACTGCTAGAGCTGGAACAAATACTGTCTGTAGTATACTGCTAGAGCTGGAACAAATACTGTCTGTAGTGTACTGCTAGAGCTGGAACAAATACTGTCTGTAGTATACTGCTAGAGCTGGAACAAATACTGTCTGTAGTGTACTGCTAGAGCTGGAACAAATACTGTCTGTAGTGTACTGCTAGAGCTGGAACAAATACTGACTGTAGTGTACTGCCGGAGCTGGAACAAATACTGTCACGCTTGTGCCCAAAATATTTGTTTTCCAAAACAAGTTTCTGATTACTAGCCAATCTTCTTTGATTTTCAGATCTTTTACGATGTCAGTACTTTTTTTCTTCTTAGCCATCCTCCTTTTGATTTCTGTTGAAAAGTCTCCATTGTTGTTGATTATGGAGCCTAGATATGTAAAGTCTGTGACATTTTCAGCTTCTTCACCACTCACGGTTAGCACCTTTTGCACTAGTTCAACATCAGAGGCGTCTGACACCTTCTATCTTTAGTAGAGCTTTGGTGTGTCCCAGAAATTCCTGTGAAACGTAGAGGCTTCAGAAATGTCAATTTACAATTTACTCCTATTTAACAAATGACAAGATGAGACTTGTTCAGGTTCAAACACCAGCCAATAGGAAATCTCACTATTTACCTACCCTGCCAGTCTGGTTAACTCTCTACCAGCTAAAACTATTCTGCCTATAGCTTCAGCCATCTTGACCAGCATACGACCACTCTTGAAATAATCCTGCAAAAACAAAACAAACTTTCAGTAATTAAGTCAGAATGTAGAGAGAAAAAAATGAGCCCTGCACAAACACAAATTTTCAGTAATGACGTAAGAATATACAGACAAATGTGTCAAGTGATTAGTTCCATGGGAATGTGGCTAAACATTCTATAAACATGTGGCTATACATTCTATAAACTTCTGGCTATACACTCTATAAACTTGTGGCTATATATTTTATAAGCTTGTAGCTAGTCTAAAAACATGTGGCTAAATATTCTACAACCTGTGGCTATACATTCTATAAACTTGTGGCCATACATTCTATAAACTTGTGGCGTGGCTATTCATTTTGTAAACTTGTGGCTGTATATTCTATAAACTTGTGGCTGTATATTCAATAAACTTGTGGCTATTCATTCTATAAACCTGATGTACATTTCACCAGTTATATCAGTTTGAGATAATAAATAGATTTTGGGAAACAGTGTGATAGGCCTCTTGATGTCAACATCTCATGATTGTGAATGTATGGAAAAGTATCAGGCACTACCTCTTCTCCCTGATAATGAATTCTGTCTAATCCCAGTAACCAAAGAAACATTTTTTACATGTAAAACTGTCGAAGATCCTGCAATCTACTGACCTCAAGACGTTCACTGTGTGTTGAGGTCAAGTGTCGTGGATGTGCCAAATTGAGAAAAGGTCGACTGACAACCAAGTACCCAACTACAGTTGCAATATCTGAGGATTCAAGGCAGTCACTAAAATAATAATGATACATTTCTAATTTCCCATTACAATCCCTAGAATTATCATGATCAATTTTCAGTATGCCATTACAAGACAATCACTGAAATTATCGTGATACACTTCCAGTACACCATTACAAGGCAATCACTAGAATTATCATGATACACTTCCAGTTCACCATTATGAGGCAATTACTAGAATTATGATATGCTTCCAGTAACCAATTACAAGGCAATCACTAGAATGATCATGATACACTTCCAGTACACCATTATAAGGCAATCACTAGAATTATCATGATACACTTCCAGTACACCATTACAAGACAATCACTGAAATTATCGTGATACACTTCCAGTACACCATTACAAGGCAATCACTAGAATTATCATGATACACTTCCAGTACACCATTACAAGGCAATCACTAGAATTATCATGATACACTATCAGTACCCCATTATAAGGCAATCACTAGAATTATCATGATACACTTCCAGTTCACCATTATGAGGCAATTACTAGAATTATAATGATATGCTTCCAGTAACCAATTACAAGGCAATCACTAGAATGATCATGATACACTTCCAGTACACCAAAGCAATCAGTAGAATTATCATGATACACCTCCAGTACACCATTACAAGGCAATCATTAGAATTATCATGATACACTTCCAGTACACCATTACAAGGCAATCACTAGAATTATCATGATACACTTCCAGCACACCATTACAAGGCAATCAGTACAATTATCATGATACACTTCCAGTACACCATTACAAGGCAATCAGTACAATTATCATGATACGCCTCCAGTACACCATTACAAGACAATCACTAGAATTATCATGATACGCCTCCAGTACACCATTACAAGGCAATCACTAGAATTATCATGATACGCCTCCAGTACACCATTACAAGGCAATCACTAGAATTATCATGATACACCTCCAGTACACCATTACAAGACAATCACTAGAATTATCATGATACGCCTCCAGTACACCATTACAAGACAATCACTAGAATTATCATGATACGCTTCCAGTACACCATTACAAGGCAATCACTAGAATTATCATGATACGCCTCCAGTACACCATTACAAGACAATCACTAGAATTATCATGATACGCCTCCAGTACACCATTACAAGGCAATCACTAGAATTATCATGATACGCCTCCAGTACACCATTACAAGACAATCACTAGAATTATCATGATACGCCTCCAGTACACCATTACAAGACAATCACTAGAATTATCATGATACGCCTCCAGTACACCATTACAAGACAATCACTAGAATTATCATGATACGCCTCCAGTACACCATTACAAGACAATCACTAGAATTATCATGATACGCCTCCAGTACACCATTACAAGGCAATCACTAGAATTATCATGATACGCCTCCAGTACACCATTACAAGGCAATCACTAGAATTATCATGATACGCCTCCAGTACACCATTACAAGACAATCACTAGAATTATCATGATACGCCTCCAGTACACCATTACAAGACAATCACTAGAATTATCATGATACGTCTCCAGTACACCATTACAAGGCAATCACTAAAATTATCATGATACGCCTCCAGTACACCATTACAAGACAATCACTAGAATTATCATGATACGCCTCCAGTACACCATTACAAGGCAATCACTAGAATTACGCCTCCAGTACACCATTACAAGACAATCACTAGAATTATCATGATACGCCTCCAGTACACCATTACAAGACAGGATACAAGAGCTGACAATGTGAGAGACAGAAGACAAGAGCTGACAATGCAAGAGACGGGAGACTAGAGCTGACAATGCGAGAGACAGGAAACAAGAGCTGACAATGCAAGAGACAGGAGAATGAGCTGACAATGCGGGAGGCAAGAGAAAGAGCTGACAATGCAAAAGACAGGAGAAAGAGCTGACAAAGTGAGAGACAGGAGACAAGAGCTGACAATATGAGAGACAGGAGACAAGAGCTGACAAAGTGAGAGACAGGAGTCAAGAGCTAACAATGTGTGAGACAGGAGACAAGAGCTGACAATGTGAGAGACAGGAGACAAGAGCTGACAATGTGAGACAGGAGACAAGAGCTGACAATGTGGGAGACAGGAGAAAGAGCTGACAATGTGAGAGACAGGAGACAAGAGGTGACAAAGTGAGACAGGAGACAAGAGCTGACAATGCAAGAGACAATAGACAAGAGCTGACAATGTGAGAGACAGGAGACAAGAGCTGACAATGTGAGAGATAGGAGACAAAAGCTGACAATACGAGAGACAGGAGACAAGAGCTGACAATGTGGGAGACAGGAGAAAGAGCTGACAATGTGAGAGACAGGAGACAAGAGGTGACAAAGTGAGACAGGAGACAAGAGCTGACAATGCGAGAGACAAGAGACAAGAGCTGACAATGTGAGAGACAGGAGACAAGAGCTGACAATGTGAGAGACAGAAGACAAGAGACAAGAGCTGACAATGCGAGAGACAGGAGAAAGAGCTGACAATATGATACACTTCCAGTTCACCATATTGAGGCAATTACTAGAATTATAATGATATGCTTCCAGTAACCCATTACAAGGCAATCACTAGAATTATCATGATACACTTCTAGTTCACCAAAGCAATCAGTAGAATTATCATGATACACCTCCAGTACACAATTACAAGGCAATCACTAGAATTATCCTGATACACTTCCAGTAAACCATTACAAGACAATCACTAGAATTATCATGATACACTTCCAGTACACCATTACATGGCAATCAGTACAATTATCATGATACACTTCCAGTACACCATTATAAGGCAATCACTAGAATTATCATGATACACTTTCAGTACACCATTACAAGGCAATCACTAGAATTATTATGATACACCTCCAGTACACCATTACAAGACAATCACTAGAATTATTATGATACACCTCCAGTACACCATTACAAGACAGGATACAAGAGCTGACAATGTGAGAGACAGAAGACAAGAGCTGACAATGCGAGAGACAGGAAACAAGAGCTGACAATGCAAGAGACAGGAGAAAGAGCTGACAATGCGAGAGGCAAGAGAAAGAGCTGACAATGCGAGAGGCAAGAGAAAGAGCTGACAATGCGAGAGGCAAGAGAAAGAGCTGACAATGCGAGACGGGAGACAAGAGCTGACAATGCAAGAGACAGGAGAAAGAGCTGACAATGCGAGAGGCAAGAGACCAGAGCTGACAATGTGAGAGACAGAAGACAAGAGACAAGAGCTGACAATGCAAGAGACAGGAGAAAGAGCTGACAATGTGAGAGACAGGAGACAAGAGGTGACAAAGTGAGAGACAGGAGACAAGAGCAGACAATGTGAGAGACAGGAGACAAGAGCTGACAATGTGAGAGACAGGAGACAAAAGCTGACAATGTGAGAGATAGGAGACAAAAGCTGACAATGCGAGAGACGGGAGACAAGAGCTGACAATGCGAGAGACGGGAGACAATAGCTGACAATGTGAGAGACAGGAGACAAGAGCTGACAATGTGAGAGACAGAAGACAAGAGACAAGAGCTGACAATGTGAGAGACATGAGACAAGAGCTGACAATGTGAGAGACAGGAGACAAGAGCTGATAAGAAGAGAATAAGGAAGAAGAATAATGATTAACGCAAAGAAAGTCAGAGACAAGAGGTGTACAACAAAAAAGAACTCACACTTGGCTATAATGTTGTCCACAAAACCCATCTGGACACGGAAATAAATGAAGCTGCGGAGATGATCCACCTGTGCAGAGATTGAAGTAAAGAACCTAGACATTAAAAAACGAATAAAGTGATCAGGACTAAAATGACTTAGAGAGAGTGTTGTGAGACACCGCTTCAAGTGGACAATAGCGCCGCAAATGACATACTACCCTTTAACCCACTGACTACCAGCGTCGCACGTAATGCGACGAGGCGACGTTTACTTCCTTCTGCCAACGCCACACCCTTTGCGATTTTAACTTTGGACGCTCGCCGTCATGTTAAAATCGCGATTTTTATGATGGATTTAGTTGAAACCTCTAGCTTATTTATTTCTGTATGGTTAATTAAGGGAAATAACTTCGTAGTGCTTGAAGTAAATATTTAACGAATTTTTTTAGTTAGCTCCCATGACAGTGAGACATTGACGAAAAATTCATCATGGCGTCAAATTATTGGAACCATCGTGGTGGCCATATCTCTCCTAATTTTTCTAATGATGCATTCGATTTTCTTGATTTTGCTTCAAAAAGTGAATTTGAAGACACTTCTGAACAGTTTGATGCCTATGACTAAAATAAATTTAACGAAGTGCCATTCAAAACATCGTCGACTGTAAAACGACAGCATGAAGCTTCGAAGTCAAGTCTGACAAAGACAGTCACAGTGTTGTCGGCTGCAAGTACTGGTGCCGCAGTTTATGATGCTGATAGTTCTTGTAAGAGTATTCAGTCAAAGCCCACAGGTTATAAAGATTTTATGCGTGAGTCTGCACATGACGAAGATATCATTGCCGCTTTTGATTCAGAATCATCATCATCTGACGAGTCCGGGGAAGATGTGCCACGCCCCCCCCCCCTCCCCCACCCCCAATTGGTTGATGACTGGCATTGTGATTTAGAAGGCTTTCCTGGAGTACCCCCATTTACTGGCACTTTTGGTTTATTTCTGCCAGCAGGAACAAATGAACCACTGAATATTTTCTTCAGTAAAGAAATTCTGGCTGTGTTTGCTAAATAAACAAACCGTTATGCTGAGGCAAAGATTGGTGCGAAACCAGACACCTGTTTTCCCAAGAACTGGAAACACACAACCCCAAATGAAGTAACATGGTTTCTTGTACCGTTGCGTCACATGTGTTGTGAAAAAGCCGTCTATTTCAGACTACCGGAGTCTATATCCATCTATCCACTCATCATTTGCTGCCACCATCACGTCACGGACATGTCCTTGACTGTACAATACACAGAACTTAGTGTGGTCTTGTAGTTTCATTACAGCGGGACATGTCCTTGATTGTACAGTACACATAACTCAATGTGGTCTTGTAGTTACATCACTGCGGGACCTGTCCTTGATTGTACAATACACAGAACTCAGTGTGGTCTTGTAGTATCATCACAGTGGGACATGTACTCAATTGTACAATACATAGAGTTGAAGTTTGGAGTCTGCACAACAGATCAACATCATGGCACACGGGTAGTAACCCATAAGGGCTCCGTTCTTCTTCTAACTCAAGTCTTGCGGTTAGGCTACTCTTTTGGATTGCCAACTGTCAAGAATAAAACTGTCAATGTGGCCTAAATGCTGTCAACATCAGACAGAAAAGTATGTCAGTCACTCAGTCAGATGTGAAATATAATCTAAAACTAAACATACCAAACATTCACACAAAGAAAGAAAGAAAGAAAGAGAGAGAGAGAGAGAGAGAGAGAGAGAGAGAGAGAGAGAGAGAGAGAGAGAGAGAGAGAGAGAGAGAGAGAGAGAGAGAGAGAGAGAGAGAGAGAGAGAGGATAGAGAGAGAGAAAATGAAATTCTCAAAAGGTTACAAAATGAGCATGCAGACACATATTACATTTGTCCCTTCCAAACACTCTTCTTTTACACAACAATTGTATTCTATCAATAAGGCGGCATGTTTGTTCATATAACAATAAGCATAATATGTATATCAGGGAAAAATACAATGATAATGCATTATGGCTTAATTTAAGGTAGCATATAATCACTAATAAGCATGAAATGAGAAATGTGAGGTCAAATGAGCAGAGAGAGAACCAGGAAGACTAACACCAAACATTCATTTGAGAGAGAGAGAGAGAGGTTGGAAGGGAAGGAGGGAGTGAGGGAGGGAGGGAGAGAGAGAGAGAGAGAGAGTACTATACAATGAGCATCAATAGGTGACATCTGAACTATACAACATCAGTGTCTGACTAACCAGTTTATGGAATGAGCCAGTGATGATAAACTTTTCTCTGTTGTTGCCCTGATAAAAGGCAATCTCTTCACTGAAAACAGAACCAAAACCAGTTAAACATATCATGTCAGCAGTAATATATGTGTCATCTGTCAACTAATGAACATGTGAACAGAACAATAAACTGGTGGTTTATCAACTAATAAACAGAACAATAAATTTGTGGTCTGGCAAAAAATAAATGGAAGAATAAACACGTGCTCTGTCAACACGAAGATGGCAGCATGTCACCTTGTTTGGTGTGTGGTCTTAAATGTCAGGGATCAAATCGACAGATTAGGAATACTAGTCACTCACAGACTCACACACTACCCTATGTGTGTATGCATGTTTTACGTATGAGTGTGCATGTATGAGAATGTAAGAGTATGTATATGTGTGCGTCTGTGTGTAAGATTGAGTACACATGATGTGTGTATGCATTATTCTATTATGTATATTTCTTTATTATATCCATAACATGCATTATTGATAAGAGGCATTGGTACTCTGAAAAATGAGTTCTTAGAAGGGCCGAATGTCAGACGGGCCTGCATGCCCAATTTGTAACCCTTTGAAAATAAAGTTCGTTCGTTCTGCTCTTTTCTCCTCCATCTTTCCCACTGTCACAATTTACTCCAGTTTTCTCCTCCTCATGACATAATCAAAGAATGTAGATATCCCTTTCTGGTGTGGGCAATCAGTTGTCTTCATAAGTCAGTTTCTTTCAAGGCATTTTACTAACTCCTTTTATTTGCCTAGGGTATTCTAATCATTAATCTATAAAACCACATCTTATATCACTGCTGACGGTCAACCCATGAATTATGCTGATATTATTAATGCCCTCAAAGAAATAGGAAGGGAGGAAGACTTTCAAGAAAGTGATTTCACATCGATCGCTAGAATGAAAAACTGGAGAGTTATGATCGGCATAGCCAAAAGGGAGAGACATGCCAGGCATACAAAAAAAGACTTATCAATCAACAAAGAACTGGCACTATTAGTCACAGGAAGCTGGGGTTTATATTGTGGGAAGGATCTGGAGTGCAATGATCATTTTCCAACTAACTAACTAGTTACATCTCTGCAACTTCCAGATAATTGTTCACTTACTAATGAACTGTCCATGATTCATTTCCATATATTCCCCGTGTGGGATCCGGGGCCCCATTGTGGGGGGAAAACAAGAATAGACCCACTGCCTACCAAAAAGCATGTCGTAAGAGTCGACTAATTGGTAGCTTCCTTTGAAGTCGGAGTGCATCTGCCTGAGAGGCAAGGAACCAACAGTCTGCATTCAAGTGAATCAGATCTGTAAAACTGATGCACATGCAACACCCAGGTTCTGGAGCAGGACTGCAGTCCAGGTGTGGACGAACAACCAGAACTTTCCGCCAGAGTGTACAGCTGGTGAACGCGAAGAAGAAGAAGATTTCCATATATAAAAAAAGGATTTATATAGCTTTAAGATTTCTCTGTCTCATCTCAACTGACAAAGAAAGTTTTCATAGAATATTGTTCATTTTGTAAAATGCTGCCTTTGCTTGAGCTATTCTTCATTTAACTTCTTTAATAAACTTCCATCTGATGTTGAGAGGGCACCCAGTACTTAACTGAATCAACTTGCTTGAAGACTGATAACAAGTCAACAGAACAATAAATTGATGGTCTGACAACAAATAAACATGTCAATAGGGAAAAAACAGCAAACTTATGGTTTGGGATTGCTTTGAAAAGATGTTAGAACTCAGAAAGTCATGCTGTATTATTTGGATGCAGCTCTGAAAATATCAACTGGTCTGATTTACAAGTAGACAGATAAAAGGAAATATCAATGTTCATACCTGTTTGTGATAAGTCTAGAGTTGACATGTCGATATTCTCCCTCCAATTTCTGCTCAGTCATTGTCATGCGTCCAATTGGTCGTCTTAAACTGACAACAAACATTCATATCATAGCATAATAAATATCAAATCACCAGCTAACAAAGCAGTATTTTTACTTCCTACATTATCTGACAAAATGCATCGTGATATGAATACACTCAAGATACAAAAATGTAAGAAATACATCAAGACACAAGACAATATGTCTATTCTTGTAGCTGAAACAATTTGCATTTGTACAATTTAAGAGTTCTAATTCAGCAAAGAGTAGAACAGTTGGATATAAGCAGAAAAGTAAATATTCTGATATTTGTGCAGACAGGTAAACAGTTCCATGTCAGCAGACAGGTAAACAGTTGGATGTGAGCAGACAGGTAAACAATTTGATGTGAGCAGACAGGTAAACAATTGGATGTGAGCAGACAGATAAACAATTGGATGTGAGCAGACAGGAAAACAATTGGATGTGAGCAGACAATTGAACAGTTGGATGTGAGCACACAGGTAAACAGTTCCATGTCGGCAGACAGGTAAAGAGTTCCATGTGAGCAGACAGGTAAAGAGTTCCATGTGAGCAGACAGGTCAAGAGTTCCATGTGAGGAGACAGGTAAACAGTTCCACATGTGCAGACAAGTAAACAGTTCCATGTGAGCAGATGCTGCGTGCTGATTTGGGAGAGAGTAATAGTGTGTGAAGGGACAGAGTGGTATGATAGTACTTTCTGGGAGGTGAAGGGGAACAGTGTCGACATTGGCCAAAGTAGTGTGGGGGGGGGGGGGGGGGGGGGGGAGGTTGACCAGTGAGAAATGTATTATCACGAACGAGGCATGTATGCATGTGGAAGTAGATGCAGAGGTTCACTGTGTGGGGGCTGACCGGCATGGCTAACGAGACACACCAAGAAAATGTGAATTACATGACACTTTGATTCTCATGTAACATCAGCCACCCACATAATCCTCGAGAACGCTCACATGAGCGTGAGTTTCAAGAACGCCCACATGAGCATGATTTCTGAGAACACCCACACAAGCGTGCCTCTCGTGTAATATCAGCCGCCCACATGGGTTCAGCAGAGATATATTGGGGCTGCGTAGTCAGTCTGAGTCAGTCAAAGTCCAAGACAGAGAGAGAGAGACCAAGTCAGGGTCAGACAGTATCTCTCAAGTGAGACAGACACAGTACTGTGCAACTATCAGGCATCAAGGTCTGAGTAAGGGTTGTGGTTGCGGTACTGATCGAAGGTAAAGTCCCCCTGGCGAAGTAAGTCCAAGGGGACTAGATGCTCCAATAGTGACTGTTCTTGGTGATGGCGCAAGGAGACGTAGGGTCACCACGGAAACAGAACAGTAGGGATGCCAACGAAAGCTGTGTGCTGGAGGGGACTTGTGTTAGAAGTCCTGTTGGTCATCGGAGTCCTTCGATAGGCTGACTTTCTGTGTGCTTGGAGAACGGCAAGGGAAGTTTGTCTCCAGTCAGCTGTTGTTGTCTGCTGAAATAATATCATGGTCCAGTGGATAGGAGAGTCCTGCTTCGAGAGTGTGGGGAGCCAAAGTTATATCTATAGACACTTGGAGGTGTGCTGATTAGTGTGTAACTCAGATTGTACACAACAGCAGACAAGTAAACAGTTCCACATGAGCAGACAAGTAAATAGTTCCACACTAGCAGACAAGTAAACAGTTTCATGTCAGTAGACAGACAGGTGAACACTTGGATGTGTGCAGACTTAGGTGAACATTTGGATGTGATCAAACATGTAAACAGTTGGATGTATGCAGCCATATAGGTGAACCGTTGGATGTGTACAGACAGACAGTCAAACAGTTGGATGTGTGCAGACAGACAGGTGAACAGTTGGATGTGTGCAGAGAGATAGGTGAACAGTTGGGTGTGATCAAACAGGTGAACAGTTCGATGTGATCAAACAGGTGAACAGTTGGATGTGATCAAACAGGTGAACAGTTGGATGTATGGAGATAGACAGTTGAACAGTTGGATGTGAGCAGACATGAAAACTTACTGAGTCAGTAGTAGGCCAGACACAGCCAGATACATCAGCATGTAGGTAGGGCCCTGCATGAAAACATTAAACAAAATTTTACTCCAGCGTGTCAGTAAGAATGACAACAGTAAACAATGTTTTAAATCAGTGTGTAAGTGATGCAGTGAATGACAACAGTAAACAACATTTTACATTAGCGTGTTGTAAGAAGGCAATGAATAACAACATTAAACAATTATTTACATCAGCGTGTTGTAAGTGAGGCAATGAATGACAACAGTAAAAAATGTTTTACTTCAGTGTGTGAGGCAATGAATGACAACAACATTTTATTTCAGTGTGTAACTGAGGCAATGAATGACAACAGTAAAAAATGTTTTACTTCATTGTGTATATGGGAATGACAACAGTAAACAATGTTTTAAATCAGTGTGTAAGTGATGCAATGAATGACAACAGTAAACAACGTTTTACATTAGCGTGTTGTAACTGAGGCAATGAATGACAACAGTAAAAAATGTTTTACTTTAGTGTGTATATGGGAATGACAACAGTAAACAATGTTTTAAATCAGTGTGTAAGTGATGCAATGAATGACAACAGTAAACAACGTTTTACATTAGCGTGTTGTAAGTGAGGCAATGAATGACAACAGTAAAAAATGTTTTACTTCAGTGTGTTGTAAGTGAGGCAATCAATGACTATAGTTAACAATGTTTTTACTTCAGTGTGTGAGGCAATGAATAACAGTAAACAATTTTTTTACTTCAGTGTGTAAGTGAGGCAAATAATGACATCAGCAAACACTCTGTGTGTAAACGGAAATGACAACCATAAACAATGTTTTACTTCAGTGTGTTGTAAGTGAGGCAATGAATGACAACAGTAAAAAATGTTTTACTTCAGTGTGTTGGAAGCGAGGCAATGAATGACAACAGTTAACAATGTTTTACATCAGAGTGTAAATGAGGCGATGAATGACAACAGTAAACAATTTTTTACTTCAGTGTGTAAGTAAGGCAAATAATGACAACAGCAAACACTTCTGTGTGTAAATGGGAATGACAACAGTAAACAATGTTTTACATCAGTGTAAGTGAGGCAATGAATGAGCACAGTAAACAATGTTTTACATCAGTGTAAGTGAGGCAATGAATGAGCACAGTAAACAATGTTTTACATCAGTGTAAGTGAGGCAATGAATGACACAGTAAACAATGTTTTACATCAGTGTAAGTGAGGCAATGAATGACACAGTAAACAATGTTTTACATCAGTGTCAGTGAGGCAAAGAATGACACAGTAAACAATGTTTTACATCAGTGTAAGTGAGGCAATGAATGAGCACAGTAAACAATGTTTTACATCAGTGTAAGTGAGGCAATGAATGAGCACAGTAAACAATGTTTTACATCAGTGTAAGTGAGGCAATGAATGACACAGTAAACAATGTTTTACATCAGTGTCAGTGAGGCAATGAATGAGCACAGTAAACAATGTTTTACATCAGTGTGTTGTAAGTGAGGCAATGAATGAGCACAGTAAACAATGTTTTACATCAGTGTAAGTGAGGCAATGAATGACACAGTAAACAATGTTTTACATCAGTGTAAGTGAGGCAATGAATGACACAGTAAACAATGTTTTACATCAGTGTCAGTCAGGCAATGAATGACAACAGTAAACAATGTTTTACATCAGTGTAAGTGAGGCAATGAATGACACAGTTAACAATGTTTTACATCAGTGTCAGTGAGGCAATGAATGACAACAGTAAACAATGTGTGCAGAGCATCTCAGTGGGAGTGACAACAGTAAACTGTATTTTAATTCAGTGTCCATAAATACAGAGCCAATACATGGTGTTCTGGTACTGGGATCCTCACATCCTGATCATGACCGTTTAACCTCACTTCCATATATGGGACATGTTATCATGGGCTGTCTTTTGAAGCCTGCAGTGGAGATTTAGATTGCCTACACAAAATGAGCACTTTGCTTCTTCTGCATGTTAGACTTTTATTGCAATGGACTTCCGCATCCATTATAGTTTCATATGACATTTCCCACATAAATGCTTAGGGCATCCAGTGTGGCAGTATGTGGACAGATGGGTCTGTTTCATTTTCTTCCTACGTCATGGTTTATGAGCTTGGCATCTCTCAGGACTATCGGCTCCGACAATCCCTGACAGTTTTCTGTGTCTTATACTTCAGATGTCAATGTGAATATATTTAAAGAAATCAGCAGTCAGCTTGAGGTTGTTGGCATTCCACAGAGTTTGTCCTCAAAAGAAGCAGGTATCAGCCAGAAGAATTTTCTCTGTTATGCATATGCTGGGCACTCTTGCAGCAAGTGTTTAGCCGTCATTTTAACATTTCCACAACTACAATGTCTCCTATCTAGCTTATTGAACAAGTGGTGGTTAAGCCTACTGTGCTCTGTGCGGAGCCTAAAGATCACTATTTGTTCTCTTCAGTCAAGTTGCTAGCATGCATCATCCTTCTTGTGGCCTGGATCTTCATAATCACATTTGATACTATAGATCAGTTATGAAATATTTTTAAATATTTTCTGTCATTTGAAAGGCTGTCAGTCATCTTTCCTTTCCCAGACAGACTCACTTCTTCATCACTTCCTCTTTTACTATAAGGTTCTGCTTCTTGCTGTTCTGGCTGTCTCAGCCACAGACACATCAAGCTGTCGAGCTTCTCTGATGCTATCTTTCAATTTTATTCTGGGTCTACCTTATGCTCTAGCCCTCTTTTGGTGTATGATTGTATGATTCGACATCACAGGGCATTCTCTCAGAGTGGGCAAACCATTTGATTTGCTATGTGTTAGTATGACAATTAGGATTGGTTCTGTGCCAACTCTTTTCTCTTATGACATCATACATGATTTTATCTCTTTCTGTCACCCCTGCAGCCGATCTCAAGAAACATCATTCCCCCCAGGATTACAGCCTAAAAAAGTTGACTTCCAGTAACTTAAAGAACCTCAACGCAAATCTAACATCCTTTTCCATCTCCAAAAAAAGTTATAATTAGAACACTCATAATGCACTGCGTTCTAGAGACTTTGAGACAAAGAGGTCAAATATAATTAACCGTTTGTTGGAAATGGGTATTAAACAAGTAGAAACTGGTTGCGGAGAGAAGAAAGAAGATATGCCAGTCAACACCTGCTGGGTACATTGAGCACTGAGACATTGAGATGGCTGTTGCATCGAAGGATGGAACACAAATGGGTCAGACTGATGTGTTAGGATGTGGGTTGTGTGCATGGTGCAACACCGTGAGAAGCAGATTTCATCTGGAATGTTTCTCAACTGTGACCAGCGTGGTGTTGTAAACTGTAGATTCATAAAATGGTGAGTGGCCTTTTGCCACATAATTGGTGGTGCCTTATGTGATTAAAATTAATCTCATGTGCAAATGTTGATCTGCTTGACATTTGTACCATTTAACCTTTCAAAATGACTTCATTTTTTGTGACATACAGTGTATTATCAACAGCACCAACCACCATTTATATTGATGCGTTCCCACTGCCAAGCCCAATAAACTGACCAAATTCCCTCCCCCCTCCCACTATCTCCTTCTCTCCACCTTCCACATCCAAAGGTACTGACAACCGGGTGGTCTGCAAACCTTCTTACCTCCCTCTGTTCCCTCACGAGATATCAGCGCTGCGTAAGGCCCTCCAATTCGTACACTTAAGTGTAGCGATCTTAAGCGACCTTTAGGATATGCACAACTTTTATTGCAGGCTCAGGTTGCAATAGGATTGCAGCACTTGAGCTGAGTGAGCCAATGTGCCTGTGCCCATTGACTCTACTGTCTTGTTTCTAAAACCCAGGTTTTCCTGGACTCCTAGTCCTGCGGTATCTACAGCTTTAGATCCAAACACTGAGAAAACTCTTTTTTTTTTAGAATAATAAATTGAAATTTAAACATCTCAGCTCAAGAGCTTTTGGCATTCACATGTCTGAAACATTATGATGACATTGTTATTAAAACTGCTGATAAGGGAAGGGCGGTAGTCGGTTGCAGAAAAGATTTATATGTGCAGGAAGGGAAAAATTTCTGGACACTTTATTTTACTAAACCATTTCAGGATGGCACGGTGAAAAACAAAATAATAGTTGAAAGCACCATCAGGTCAAGGGGGACCTTCTACCTGCCCAGATCAGCTCTCTATTTGTCGAGGAAAGCTGTCTGAGAAAGTCTGCCTTCTTTCGGCTTCCCAAGACAATCAAACCTGACAACGCAGGCTGACCGACTGTGTCACTACCATACAACAGAACAGGCTCGATTTAACATTTCAATACTCGCTTTCTAATGTTTTAAAGAGTGATTTATTACGTAAAATACTATTCGTCTGAAAAGCAGTTTTTGCCTGGATAGTTCTGCTCTTAATCTCTGTCACACATCGTTTATTTGATGTTACGAATGTTCCAAAATACTTGAATTTACACTTTCCCTTTTATTTCTATGTCACATTTTGGAGTTATCTTTTTCTTTGACATAACCATTTTTTTCTGTTTTCTTGACATTCAAGGACAGTCACTTTCTTGTACTCTCTAGTAGAACAATGTTTAATAGTCGTAGGTCTTCTGCGTTTTCAGCTCTTAATACTGTATCATCTGCATAACAAAGATTGTTTATATTATAACCTGCAGCTAGATTCCTGGTCTACCCTTGACTTCCCTCATTATTATTTCACTATAGAGAGAAAAGAGATCCGGTGACAGAACACATCCTTGTCTCACTCCTTGCTTTATCTGTTCATAAATGCCTCCCTTATTTCCCAATTTAAGTGCTGCTTCTTGTTTTCAGTGAATATTTTTTTTTATTATTCTGATATCTCTTCCATCAATGTTAATATCCTCCAACAATTTTTTCATGTCATCATGTTTCACTTTATCAAAAGCTTTGGTATAATCTATGAAGCACAAATGTATATGTTTCACTTTATCAAAAGCTTTGGTATGATCTATGAAGCACAAATGTATGCGTTTCTGTTTCTCCATTGATCTCTCTACTAATGTTCGCAATGTGCACATTGCATTATCTGTACCTTTCCCTTCAATAAAACTGTACCACTTTTCACTAATTTCCATTTTTATTTTCCCTTCTTGTTTTTCTTGTTATAATTCTGAGCAACAGTTTGGTGACATGGTTTACAAGGTTGATTGTATGAAATTCATCACATTTAATTGCTCCAGGTCTTTTAGTTAGTGCTATAAATACAGACTTCAGCAAATCATCAGGTATATCTCCACCATTGTAAATATCATTCAACAGTTTTAGTCAATACGTCAACTCGAAATTCTCCGAGCACTTCTATTTCCTCTACCATAATTCCAACTGGTCCGGCCGTTTTTTCTTTTTTCAAATGTTTGATAGCATCAGAGACTGTATGGCTGGCTCTTCAAGGTTATTTTCTGTTGTTAAATATATTCTTTCTCCATTTTATAATTCTCGTATGTATTCATTCCATCTCTTTATTACAGAAACTTCGTCCATTAATATCCTTGCTGTTTTTGATTTTAAACATACTGTACTTATTTTTATTTCTGTCAAATCGCTGATTAGCCTGTACATACTTTTTGTATCATTAATGGAATTTATTTTAAATTTGTTGCACTGCTCATTTAACTGTTTTCTTTGGCTCTTATATATTTAGTTCTGATTCTTTGTGTATCTTGTCACCCTCTTCTTTGTTATTTTTATTTAGTTTACGCTTGAACATCAACTTAAAAATTTCTTCAGTCATCCATTTATTCTTAGCTTTTTGTTTCACTTCAAGTAACAGTCATTGCTTGTTTGCTGAAAAGAGTATTTTAGCATTTCCCATTGTTCATTTATACTCTGGATTTTAGTTATTGCATTGTATATTCTTCTTTGTGTTCACCAGCTGTACACTCTGGCAGAAAGTCCTGGTTGTTCATCCACTTCTGGACTGCAGCGCCATTCCAGAACTTGAGTGTTGCATGTGCATCCGTTTGACAGATCTGACTAATTTGTATGCAGGTTGTTGGTTCCTTGCCCCTCAGGCAGATGCACTCCAACTTCGAAGAAAGCTCTCAATCAGTCGACTCTTATGACATACTTTTGGGCAGGCAGTGGGTCTATTCTTGTTTTCCCTAAAATAGGGCCCCACAACCCACATGGGGAGCATTGCATCTGTTTTTCACAATCACTCTGTACTGTTCCTGAATTTCTGTATCCACTTGTAAAATATCTTTATTAAGTTTCATATTGTTAATCTTTTTCTTTCCTCTCTTCTGACTTTTACTTTTACGCAAAGTGGATGTGATCACTATTACAGTCAGCACCAGGCAATATCTGCACATTTATTAATGCATTTGTAAATCTGTTATTAATCATTATGTAGCATAAGAGGACAAAAGGGCAAAATACTAGGAAGGCTGATCCGGACAGAGGATGACCAATACCCAAAAGATTAGGCAAACAGAAACATACTCAGACACAGACAGAAAGTAGAGGTCTGTCTAATAGGGTAGGGATACAAAGCCAGCACAAACTTAGCCAATCACTTGGTGCTAATAAATGAAACTCCATCTCTCCTCTGCCACCCTACCACAAATAAGCAGGAAACTCCTGTCTCTCCTCTATCATCCTACCATAAATAAGCAGGAAACTCCTGTCTCTCTTCTGCCACCCTACCATAAATAAGCAGGAAACTCCTGTCTCTCTTCTGCCACCCTACCATAAATAAGCAGGAAACTCATGTCTCTCCTCTGCCACCATACCATAAATAAGCAGGAAACTCCTGTCTCTCCTCTGCCACCCTACTATAAATAAGCAAGAAACTTCTGTCTCTCCTCTATCATTCTACCATAAATAAGCAGGAAACTCATGTCTCTCCTCTGCCACCCTACCATAAATAAGCAGGAAACTCCTGTCTCTCCTCTGCCACCCTACCATAAATAAGCAGGAAACTCCTGTCTCTCCTCTTTCATTCTACCATAAATAAGCAGGAAACTCATGTCTCTCCTCTGCCACCCTACCATAAATAAGCAGGAAACTCCTGTCTATCCTCTGCCACCATACCATAAATAAGCAGGAAACTCCTGTCTCTCTTCTGCCACCCTACCATAAATAAGCAAGAAACTCCTGTCTCTCCTCTATCATTCTACCATAAATAAGCAGGAAACTCACGTCTCTCCTCTGCCACCCTACCATAAATAAGCAGGAAACTCCTGTCTCTCCTCTGCCACCCTACCATAAATAAGCAGGAAACTCCTGTCTCTCCTCTTTCATTCTACCATAAATTCTACCTCGTTTGTGTCTTTCACTTGTGTTTGAAAAAGGCTGCCCAGCCGAAACGTTACGTTTTGTTGTTTTGTGCGTTTTCCTCTTTCCCATTTTGTTGAGCTTTTTAGTCAAATTTCTCTGGAATTTACCATAAATAAGCAGGAAACTCATGTCTCTCCTCTGCCACCCTACCATAAATAAGCAGGAAACTCCTGTCTATCCTCTATCATCCTACCATAAATAAGTAGGAAACTCCTGTCTCTCCTCTGCCATCCTACCATAAATAAGCAGGAAACTCCTGTCCCTCCTCTGCCATTCTACCATAAATAAGCAGGAACCCCTGTCCCTCCTCTGCCATCCTACAATAAATAAGCAGCATGTTAAAGAATGTAACAGAGGATGACAAATTACCATAATTCCAATAGCACCTGTCAGCTTGATGGTGTACAAGATGACATCCAGAATTGGCTGTCAATAAAAGGAAACATTCTCAATGAACAAGTCGCCAGCAGACAAATAAAAAAAAAAAAAATACACTTGACAAATACTGAAAGGTCAGGACATGGTTATAGCTCTTTCTCTCTCTCCTCTGTGTGTGTGTGTGTGTGTGTGGTTTTTTTTTGTTTTTTTTTTATTCTCAGGGTCTTCGAGGTGTCCTCAACATATAAGTTACAAGCGTCAAGTCTAGCCATTTAAATCAAAGAGTCTGCACGACTCTTTAGATCTATGTCTAATGTCTCTTTCTTTTCTAAGAGCCTTGACTCTGATGTGTCAATTATCTACAAATATATCCAATTATGTTAATTTCCTAACCCGACAATCCTACCTCTCTGGGTTACTTTCTGTGCAGTAAACTCTTCCTGCATGACACATTTCTTCAAGTTTCTATTGTTCAGACATGTTACGGAGATCGCTTTCTTGACCAACTATTTAATACTACATTACTCAATATAGTGTTACTCTTAAATAATGTGAGAATGGTAGTGTTACTCTTAAATAATGTGAGAATGGTAGTGTTACTCTTAAATAATGTGAGAATGGTAGTGTTACTCTTAAATAATGTGAGAATGGTAGTGTTACTCTGATTGAGAATGATGGTGTTGATCTGATTATCATAAGAATGATTGTATGACTTTGATAATGTGAGAATGAAGATGTTTGTTTTAGTAGTATAAGAATGATGGTGTTACTCTGATAATGTAAGAGTGGCGGAGTTATTCTGATAATATAAGAATGATAGTGTTACTTTAATGCCAGAAAGATGGCGTTACTTGAGTCATTTGAGCCTGATGGTGTTACTTTGACAATATGAGAAAGATAGTATTACTTTGAGTATTGTAAGAGTAATCGTGTTATTTTGAGTAATGTAAGAATGATGGCAATTGTTTGAGTAATATAAGAATGACGGTCTTACTCTGAGTAGTGTAAAAATGATAATTTTAATTTCAGTATTAGGAGAATGATTGATGTTACTTTGGGTAATGTGAAAATGAGTGTTATTTTGAGAAATGTAATAATGATGGTGTTGGTTTGAGTAATATAAAAATGATGATGCTGGTATGATTATTGTAAGAATGATGATGTTACACTGGTAAAGTGAGAATGCTGGTGTTACCTTGATAGTGTTGGTTTGAGTACTGTGAGAATGATGGTGTTGGTTTGATAATGTGAGAATGATGGTGTTAGTCTGAATAAATGTAAAAACGATGGTGCCACTTTGAACAATGTAAGAATGCTGGTGTTACTTTGAGTAACATAAAAATGATAGTGTTGGTTTAACTAATGTGAAGATAATGGTGCTAGTTTGATTAATGTAAGAATGATGGCATTACTTTGAGTAAAGTAAGCCTGATGGTGCTACTTTGAGTAATGTGAGAATGATGGTGTTACTTTGAGTAATGTAAGCCTGATGGTGCTACTTTGAGTAATGTGAGAATGATGGTGTTACTTTGAGTAATGTGAGAATGATGGTGTTACTTTGAGTAATGTGAGAATGATAGTGTTACTTTGAGTAATGTGAGAATGATGGTGTTGGAGTAATGTAAGCCTGATGGTGTTACTTTGAGTAATGTGAGAATGATGGTGTTACTTTGAGTAATGTAAGCCTGATGGTGTTATTTTGAGTAATGTGAGAATGATGGTGTTATTTTGAGTAATGTGAGAATGATGGTGTTACTTTGAGTAATGTGAGAATGATGGTGTTACTTTGAGTAATGTGAGAATGATGGTGTTACTTTGAGTAATGTGAGAATGATGGTGTTACTTTGAGTAATGTAAGCCTGATGGTGTTACTTTGAGTAATGTGAGAATGATGGTGTTACTTTGAGTAAAGTAAGCCTGATGGTGTTACTTTGAGTAATGTGAGAATGATGGTGTTACTTTGAGTAATGTGAGAATGATGGTGTTACTTTGAGTAATGTAAGCCTGATGGTGCTACTTTGAGTAATGTGAGAATGATAGTGTTACTTTGAGTAATGTAAGCCAGATGGTGCTACTTTGAGTAATGTGAGAATGATGGTGTTACTTTGAGTAATGTGAGAATGATGGTGTTACTTTGAGTAATGTGAGAATGATGGTGTTACTTTGAGTAATGTAAGCCTGATGGTGCTACTTTGAGTAATGTGAGAATGATGGTGCTACTTTGAGTAATGTAAGCCAGATGGTGCTACTTTGAGTAATGTGAGAATGATTGTGTTACTTTGAGTAAAGTAAGCCTGATGGTGTTACTTTGAGTAAAGTAAGCCTGATGGTGTTACTTTGAGTAATGTGAGAATGATGGTGTTACTTTGAGTAATGTGAGAATGATGGTGTTACTTTGAGTAATGTAAGCCTGATGGTGCTACTTTGAGTAATGTGAGAATGATGGTGTTACTTTGAGTAATGTAAGCCAGATGGTGCTACTTTGAGTAATGTGAGAATGATGGTGTTACTTTGAGTAATGTGAGAATGATGGTGTTACTTTGAGTAATGTGAGAATGATGGTGTTACTTTGAGTAATGTAAGCCTGATGGTGCTACTTTGAGTAATGTGAGAATGATGGTGTTACTTTGAGTAATGTAAGCCAGATGGTGCTACTTTGAGTAATGTGAGAATGATGGTGTTACTTTGAGTAATGTGAGAATGATGGTGTTACTCTGAGTAATGTGAGAATGATGGTGTCACTTTGAGTAATGTGAGAATGATGGTGTTACTTTGAGTAAAGTAAGCCTGATGGTGTTACTTTGACTAATGTGAGAATGATGGTGTTACTTTGAGTAATGTGAGAATGATGGTGTTACTTTGAGTAATGTAAGCCTGATGGTGCTACTTTGAGTAATGTGAGAATGATGGTGTTACTTTGAGTAATGTAAGCCAGATGGTGCTACTTTGAGTAATGTGAGAATGATGGTGTTACTTTGAGTAATGTGAGAATGATGGTGTTACTTTGAGTAATGTGAGAATGATGGTGTTACTTTGAGTAATGTGAGAATGATGGTGTTACTTTGAGTAAAGTAAGCCTGATGGTGTTACTTTGAGTAATGTGAGAATGATGGTGTTACTTTGAGTAATGTGAGAATGATGGTGTTACTTTGAGTAATGTAAGCCTGATGGTGCTACTTTGAGTAATGTGAGAATGATGGTGTTACTTTGAGTAATGTAAGCCTGATGGTGCTACTTTGAGTAATGTGAGAATGATGGTGTTACTTTGAATAATGTGAGAATGATGGTGTTACTTTGAGTAATGTGAGAATGATGGTGTTACTTTGAGTAATGTGAGAATGATGGTGTTACTTTGAGTAAAGTAAGCCTGATGGTGTTACTTTGAGTAATGTGAGAATGATGGTGTTACTTTGAGTAATGTGAGAATGATGGTGTTACTTTGAGTAATGTAAGCCTGATGGTGCTACTTTGAGTAATGTGAGAATGATGGTGTTACTTTGAGTAATGTAAGCCTGATGGTGTTACTTTGAGTAATGTGAGAATGATGGTGTTACTTTGAGTAATGTGAGAATGATGGTGTTACTTTGAGTAATGTAAGCCTGATGGTGCTACTTTGAGTAATGTGAGAATGATGGTGTTACTTTGAGTAATGTAAGCCTGATGGTGTTACTTTGAGTAATGTAAGCCAGATGGTGTTACTTTGAGTAATGTGAGAATGATGGTGTTACTTTTACAATATGAGAATGATGGTGTTACTTTTACAATATGAGAATGATGGTGTTACCATGAATAATGTAAGAATAATCGTGTTACTTTGAATAATGTAAGAATGATGGCATTGGTTTGAGTAATATATGAATGATGGTCCTACTCTGAGTAATCAAAGAATTATGATGTTACTTTCAGCATTAGGAGAATTATAGTGTTACTTTGAGCAATATAAGAATGATGGTGTTAGTTTTAATAATGTGAAAATGAGGGTATTACTTTGATAATGAGAGAACAATGGTGTTACTTTGATAATGTGATTAAGATGGTTTAACTTTGAGTAATGTAAAAAATTGTGTTACCTTGTTACTGGTAGAAACAAAAATGAGATTATTGCCTGGTTTGTAATATATAATAATGATGAAATTAATTTTTGTTTTATAACATTTTTGGGGGGAGACAAAAATGACAATGGCAGTGCTAACTTGTCTGAGAAATATAAGAATGATATGAGTACATTGGGAACATGCAGAACAGAATAAAAACAGCAAACCAATGAATAAAGTTACCTTGCTGAGGTTAGAATATAATTCTGCCACTGAATCACAAAACTTCTCTGTGTCTTGCGTCAGCAGCTGGTCAGCATTAGCAATACGATTGTCCAGATTGCTCATCTTATAAAATGTGAAGCCTCTAAGTATAGTAAACACACATCAATAGTGAATTAAAGCACTCATCGAACAAATGTTCCCTAAATATCAACAGTCAATGCCAGCACCCTTAAAAAATATCAATAGCTGATTTCAGCCCCAGGTGAACAAACATCACCAAATATCAAGTAAATGCTAGCACCCTGTGAACAAATGTCATCAAACATCAGTAGTTGATGCCAGCAAGTGGTAAACAAATGTTCATCAAATACCAGTAGTTGATGCCAGCAAGTGGTAAACAAATGTTCATCAAATATCAGCAGTTGATGCCAGCAAGTGGTAAACACATGTTTATCAAATATCAGTAGTTGATGCCAGCAAGCGGTAAACAAATGTTCATCAAATATCAGTAGTTGATGCCAGCAAGTGGTAAACAAATGTTTATCAAATATCAGTAGTTTGATGCCAGCAAGTGGCAAACAAATGTTTATTAAATATCTGTAGGTGATACTAGCGCTGTGAAAAAATGTCATCACATTTAAAACAGTCAATGCCAGCACCCAGTGAACAAATGTTCATCAATCATCAGTGAATGCCAGCATCTGGTGTACAAATGTTCATCCAATATCAGTGAGTGCCAGCACCCAGTGAACAAATGTTCATCAATTATCAGTGAATGCCAGCACCCAGTGAACAAATGTTCATCAAATATCAGTGAATGCTAGCATCTGGTGTACAAATGTTCATCAATTATTAGTAGTAGATGCCAGCACTCTGTGAACAAATGTTCATCAAACATCAACAGTGACTTCCACCACTTAGTGAACAAATGTCTATCAAATATCAGTGAATACCAGCACTCTGTGAACAAATGTTCATCAAATATCATGCCAGCACTTTGTGAACAAATATTCATCAAATATCATGCCAACACTCTGTGAACAAATGTCTATCAAATATCAGTGAATACCAGCACTCTGTAAACAAATGTTCATCAAACATCAACAGTGATTGCCACCACTTAGTGAACAAATGTCTATCAAATATCAGTGAATACCAGCACTCTGTGAACAAATGTTCATCAAACATCAACAGTGACTTCCACCACTTAGTGAACAAATGTCTATCAAATATCAGTGAATACCAGCACTCTGTGAACAAATGTTCATCAAACATCAACAGTGACTTCCACCACTTAGTGAACAAATGTCTATCAAATATCAGTGAATACCAGCACTCTGTGAACAAATGTTCATCAAACATCAACAGTGACTTCCACCACTTAGTGAACAAATGTCTATCAAATATCAGTGAATACCAGCACTCTGTGAACAAATGTTCATCAAATATCATGCCAGCACTGTGAATAAATGTTTATCAAATATCAGAGAATGCCAGCACTCTGTGAACAAATGTTCATCAAACAGTACTCTAAGCCAGTACTCTGTGAACAAATGTTTATCAAACATCAACAGTGACTACCAGCACTTAGTGAACAAATGTTTATCAAAAATAAAAAATGCCAAAACTTGGTTGAACATACATGTATGCGCACAATAAACAAATTTTCATCAAATATCAACAGTGAATGGCAGCAACCAGTAAACAAATTTTCATCAAATAACAAAAGTGAATGACAGCATTCAGTTCAACATAGAGCTATAGGCACACAAAATATTGAACTGAGAGGTATGTGAACACTAAATGTTGAATTGAGGGAACTACTTACTTGAGGTATTTGTCATAAAGGTATGTGGACAATAAATGTTGAATTGAGGGAACTATTTACTTGAGGTATTTGTCATAAAGGTATGTGGACACCAAATGTTGAATTGAGAGAACTACTTACTTGCGGTATTTGTCATAAAGGTATGTGGACACCAAATGTTGAACTGAGAGAACTACTTACTTGAGGTATTTGTCATAAAGGTATGTGGACACCAAATGTTGAACTGAGAGAACTACTTACTTGAGGTATTTGTCATAAAGGTATGTGGACAATCGAATTCTGAATCTGAGTTTCAGCATATTTTTCAGCAAATTTTCATCAAATAACAAAAGTGAATGACAGCATTCAGTTCAACATAGAGCTATAGGCACACAAAATATTGAACTGAGAGGTATGTGGACACTAAATGTTGAATTGAGGGAACTACTTACTTGAGGTATTTGTCATAAAGGTATGTGGACAATAAATGTTGAATTGAGGGAACTATTTACTTGAGGTATTTGTCATAAAGGTATGTGGACACCAAATGTTGAATTGAGAGAACTACTTACTTGCGGTATTTGTCATAAAAGTATGTGGACACCAAATGTTGAACTGAGAGAACTACTTACTTGAGGTATTTGTCATAAAGGTATGTGGACAATCGAATTCTGAATCTGAGTTTCAGCATATTTAGTCCAAACTGAAATCAGGAAAATCAGAAGTTAGGGACATACCTCCTGTAGCACATGCACACTTCTAGGGCAGGAATACTGTAGCACATGCACACACCTAGGGCAGGAATACTGTAGTTCATGCACACATCTAGGGCAGAAATACTGTAGTTCATGCACACATCTAAGGCAGGAATACTGTAGTTCATGCACACATCTAAGGCAGGAATACTGTAGTTCATGCACACATCTAGGGCAGGAATACTGTAGTTCATGCACACATCTAAGGCAGGAATACTGTAGTTCATGCACACATCTAGGGCAGAAATACTGTAGTTCATGCACACATCTAAGGCAGGAATACTGTAGTTCATGCACACATCTTGGGCAGGAATACTGTGGCACATGTACACATCTAAGGCAGGAATACTGTAGTTCATGCACACATCTAAGGCAGGAATACTGTAGTTCATGCACACATCTCAGGCAGGAATTATGTAGTTCATGCACACATCTAAGGCAGGAATACTGTAGTTCATGCACACATCTAAGGCAGGAATACTGTAGTTCATGCACACATCTAAGGCAGGAATACTGTAGACATGCACACATCTAAGGCAGGAATACTGTGGTTCATGCACACATCTAGGGCAGAAATACTGTAGTTCATGCACACATCTAAGGCAGGAATACTGTAGTTCATGCACACATCTAAGGCAGGAATACTGTAGTTCATGCACACATCTAGGGCAGGAATACTGTAGTTCATGCACACATCTAAGGCAGGAATACTGTAGTTCATGCACACATCTAGGGCAGAAATACTGTAGTTCATGCACACATCTAAGGCAGGAATACTGTAGTTCATGCACACATCTTGGGCAGGAATACTGTGGCACATGTACACATCTAAGGCAGGAATACTGTAGTTCATGCACACATCTAAGGCAGGAATACTGTAGTTCATGCACACATCTAAGGCAGGAATTATGTAGTTCATGCACACATCTAAGGCAGGAATACTGTAGTTCATGCACACATCTAGGGCAGAAATACTGTAGTTCATGCACACATCTAAGGCAGGAATTATGTAGTTCATGCACACATCTAAGGCAGGAATACTGTAGTTCATGCACACATCTAGGGCAGAAATACTGTAGTTCATGCACACATCTAAGGCAGGAATTATGTAGTTCATGCACACATCTAAGGCAGGAATACTGTAGTTCATGCACACATCTAGGGCAGAAATACTGTAGTTCATGCACACATCTAAGGCAGGAATACTGTAGTTCATGCACACATCTAAGGCAGGAATACTGTAGTTCATGCACACATCTAGGGCAGGAATACTGTAGTTCATGCACACATCTAAGGCAGGAATACTGTAGTTCATGCACACATCTAGGGCAGAAATACTGTAGTTCATGCACACATCTAAGGCAGGAATTATGTAGTTCATGCACACATCTAAGGCAGGAATACTGTAGTTCATGCACACATCTAAGGCAGGAATTATGTAGTTCATGCACACATCTAAGGCAGGAATACTGTAGTTCATGCACACATCTAAGGCAGGAATACTGTAGTTCATGCACACATCTAAGGCAGGAATACTGTAGACATGCACACATCTAAGGCAGGAATACTGTGGTTCATGCACACATCTAAGGCAGGAATACTGTAGACATGCACACATCTAGGGAAGGAATACTGTAGCACATGTACACAATATAGGGCAGGAATACTGTAGCACATGCACACACCTAGGGCAGGAATACTGTATCACATACACACACCTAGGCCAGCCTAATGTATCGCATACCTACACCTAGGACAGCTAATGTATCACATTCACACATTTTGGACAGCCTAATCTATCACATACATACATATAGGACAGCCTAATGTAGCACATACACACATCTAGGACATCTAATGTAGCACATACACACATTCGGGACAGCCTAATGTAGTAAACACCACACTTCTAAGACAGCCTACTGTATAAAATGCACACATATGGGACAGCCTAATGTATCACATGCACACATCCAGGACAACCTAATGTAGCACATGCACACATCTAGGACATCCTACTGTATCAAATGCACACATCTAGGACAACCCAAATGTCTCACATGCACACACCTAGGATAGGCCTACTTTAATATACTCAAACATCTAGGAAAGGCCTACTTTAATATACTCACACATCTAGGAAAGGCCTACTTTAATATACTCACACATCTAGGAAAGGCCTACTTTAATATACTCACACATCTAGGAAAGGCCTACTTTAGTATACTCACACATCTAGGACAGGCCTACTTTAGTATACTCACACATCTAGGACAGGCCTACTTTAGTATACTCACACATCTAGGACAGGCCTAATTTAGTAAACTCACACATCTAGGACAGGCCTACTTTAGTATACTCACACATCCAGGACAGGCCTACTTTAGTATACTCACACATCTAGGACAGGCCTACTATAGCACATGCACACACCTAGGACAGACATGTGTCCTATCTACACATTTCCTTAAAATGACTTCCTGTGGTCTGTTGAATATTTATTGGAAGATATATTTGTTGATGATTTGTATGTCAAATGTTTTCATAAAGCATGAGTGAACTCAGTTACAGGGTGCTGCCTTCAAATACAGAGGCAGCAGGAGTCGTGACTGGTTTAGTTAAGTTCACCTCCCCCCCCTTCCCCCCCCCCCCAATAAAAGTGAATAAAAGCTGTGTAACTAAGGGTCCGCAGCTGGTTTGGTCAAGCCCCCCCCCCCTCCCCCCCCCACAAAGGTGAACTGGTCGTGTAACTAAGGGTCAAGCATGTTCACCTTTTGTGTTGTGTTGTGGTTTTCTTACTGTTGTTTACTGATGAAAAAAAATTACAATATCCTTTGTTTATTTTAATGATTCCATAAGTGTTTATGTTCTTATATTGTCTCCCCAAATTTTTATAGGTGTTGATGTTGTTCTAGTATCTTCCTAATGTTTCCATATATATATATATATATATATATATATATATATATATATATATATATATATATATATATATATATATATATATATATATATATATATATATATATATATATATATATATATATACGTTTTTGTACCGTCTCCCCAAATGTCTCCACACATGTACATGTTGCTGTACTATCTTCCCAAATATCTCCACATGTGTATATGTTATCCCATTTCTCCAAATGTGTATATGTTGTATTATATCCCCAAATGTATATATGTTGTGTTATTTCCCCAAATGTCTCCACATGTTTAAGTTGCTGTACCATCTTCCCAAAGATCTCCACATGTGTATATGTTATCCCATTTCCCCAAATGTGTATATGTTGTAAAATTTCCAAAAATGTCTCCAAATGTGTATATTCTGTTGTATCATCTCCACAAATGTCTCCAAATGTGTATATGTTGTTGTATCATCTCCACAAATGTCTCCAAATGTGTATATGTTGTTGTATCATCTCCACAAATGACTCCAAATGTGTATATGCTGTTCCATATCCTCAAATGTCTCCACATGTGTATATGTTGTTGTATCATCTCCACAAATGTCTCCACATGTGTATATATTGTATTACATCCCTAAAAGTATCCACATGTGTATATGTTGTACTATCTCCAAAAATGTCTCCACATGTGTATATGTTGTACTATCTCCTCAAATGTCTCCACATGTGTATATATTGTATTACATCCCTAAAAGTATCCACATGTGCATATGTTGTACTGTCTCCTCAAATGTCTCCACATATGTATATGTTGTACTATCTCCTTAAATGTCTCCACATGTGTATATGTTGTACTATCTCCTCAAATGTCTCCACATGTGTATATGTTGTACTATCTCCTCAAATGTCTCCACATCTGTATATATTGTATTACATCCCTAAAAGTATCCACATGTGCATATGTTGTACTGTCTCCTCAAATGTCTCCACATGTGTATATGTTGTACTATCTCCTTAAATGTCTCCACATGTGTATATGTCGCACTATCTCCTCAAATGTCTCCACATGTGTATATGTTGTACTATCTCCTTAAATGTATCCACATGTGTATATGTTGTACTATCTCCTTAAATGTCTCTACATGTGTATATGTTGTACTATCTCCACAAATGTCTCCACATGTGTATATGTTGTATCATCTCCCCAAATGTCTCCACATGTGTGTATGTTGTACCATCTCCCTAAGTGTCTTCACATGTGTTGTGCCATCTCCCCAAATGTTTCCAATGTCTCCACAAGTGTATATGTTGTTGTACCATCCCAATAAAAACTCTGCTCCATCACTTCTGTAATTTCCCTGCAAGTGTACATGTTTGTTTATCATCTTCTTAGGTTTCAGATGTGGTTCTTTCGTAATATCCTACCCCAGATGACGCCACAGCGCAACATTTTAGAGGGTGGTAAGACTGGGTTTCCCGGCTTTCTGATGCTGTTAATGACCCCAAAACATCTCGAACTAGCCCTAATCCCAACCCACCTACAGAGAGTGCAGTCTAGGTCCCACGACTGCATGCAGCCTAGATCCCATCTACCGCCCCCTGAAATATTGGACTGACCTGTGGATTTTCCCTGTTTGGGGTTGGATATTAAGAAAGCACCTAAAATATTGATGTTAAAATTTTTTGTCATTTCAGGCTAAAATGTTGATGTTAAACATTTCTGTCATTTCAGGCTAAAATGTTGATGTTAAACATTTGTCATTTCAGGCTAAAATGTTGCTGTTAAACATTTGTCATTTCAGGCAAAATGCTGATGTTGAACATTTCTGTCATTTCAGGCTAAAATGTTGATGTTAAACATCTATGTCATTTCAGGCTAAAATGTTGATGTTAAACATTTCTACCGCTTTGGAGTAAAATGTAGATCTGAATTTAAAACTACTCAGTAATTGCTGACAAGCAGGTGAGAGAGAGAGAGAGACTTGTGTTACCTTAAGCAAGTTGTTGACCAGGGATATCTGTGGATAAACAAAATCATGTGTCACCTGATTGGAAACAATACAAACATGGTCGGCTATTATATCTGTGGATAAACACCATTAGTTGTCATCTATGTTAGTTAGTTAGTTAGTTAGTTAGTTAGTTAGTTAGTTAGTTAGTTAGTTAGTTAGTTAGTTAGTTAGTTAGTTAGTTGTCATCTATGACACAGTCGATAGGAAACACAATAAAAACATGGTCAGCTATGTTGACTCAAAATCAACCAACGAACATACTTTATTTCCAAAGGGTTACAAATTGGGCATGCAGGCCCATCTAACATTTGGCCTTTCCCAGCATTCATTTTTCATACAGCAGTTGCATTTGACATACAAAGTATATTTAATTATGTTCATATGTCAAAATACACTGTATGAAAGTAAACATTCAAAAGCATACCTTAAAATATACATACAAAAAATAGTCAAATGTTGCAGACACACACAAGCACACACACTTACGCAACACATTTATACAGATAGAACACACACACTGATGAAACACACACAACAAAAACAGGCATATACACGATCACAGACATACACACAGACCAAACATATATACATAGACAAAAAGCACCCAGTCACAACATGTACACACTGAAATGAAAAATATATAGACAACACACACAGGCATAAGCACCCTCACAAACACAATATATACACACCGACAAACAACATATACATAAACAATACATACACATAGACTCAACACAAGCACATCGTTCACAAATGCAGCACAAAAAGACAAAACAAATATACACAAAAAGACAAAACATATACACATAGAAATAACACTCACACAGCCATAATACTCCCAAAGACACAACACTCACAGACAAAATGCTCACACACTACTCACATACACAATACCAACATAGACACAGTACTCACAAACACAACATATACACACACAACACTCATACACACACAACACTCATACATAAACAACACTCAAACAGACACAACACTCACACATACACAACACTCATATAGAAGCCATTCTCATACAGATGCAATACTCACAGACACATCACTCATAAAGACACAACACAGCACACAGAGTACTGTACAGAACAATACATGTGACTATACTGTCAGAGTACTGTACAGATCAGCACATGTGAATATACTGTCAGGGTACTGTACAGAACAACACATGTGACTATACTGTCAGGGTACTGTACAGAACAACACATGTGACTATACTGTCAGGGTACTGTACAGAACAACACATGTGACTATACTGTCAGGGTACTGTACAGAACAACACATGTGACTATACTGTCAGAGTACTGTACAGATCAGCACATGTGAATATACTGTCAGGGTACTGTACAGAACAACACATGTGACTATACTGTCAGGGTACTGTACAGAACAACACATGTGACTATACTGTCAGAGTACTGTTGAACAGAACAACACATGTGACTATACTGTCAGGGTACTGTACAGAACAACACATGTGACTATACTGTCAGGGTACTGTACAGAATAGCCCATGTGACTATACTGTCAGAGTACTGTACAGAACAGCACATGTGAATATACTGTCAGAGTACTGTTGAACAGAACAGCACATGTGAATATACTGTCAGGGTACTGTACAAAACAGCACATGTGACTATACTGTCAGAGTACTGTACAGAACAGCACATGTGACTATACTGTCAGGGTACTGTACAGAACAGCACATGTGACTATACTGTCAGAGTACTGTACAGAACAATACATGTGACTATACTGTCAGAGTACTGTAAAAAACAGCACATGTGACTATAATGTAAGGGAACTGTACAGAACAACAAATGCTACTATACTTTCAGTATTGTACACAACACATGCCACTATATAAATACTGTCCTCACAAAATACAAAACAAACAATGTTGACACTTACTGCAGGCATGGCATAGACAAACCTCAGCAGCAGCCGCCTGAACTGTTGGGCGTCTCTTCCAATAATGGCACTTGAATCAGAACAGCAGAGATGTATCAGAGGTGGCTCTAGCAATGTCAATGGTGGTTCTAGCAGTGTTAATGGTGGTTCTAGCAGTGTCAATGGTGGTTCCAGCAGTGTCAATGGTGGGTCTAGCAGTGTCAATGGTGGCTCTAGCAGTGTCAATGGTGGCTCTAGCAGTGTCAATAGTGGCTCTAGCAGTGTCAATGGTGGCTCTAGCAGTGTCAATGGTGGGTCTAGCAGTGTTATGGTGGCTCTAGCAGTGTTATGGTGGCTCTAGCAGTGTTATGGTGGATCTAGCAGTGTTAATGGTGGTTCTAGCAGTGTCAATGGTGGCTCTAGCAGTGTCAATGGTGGTTCTAGCAGTGTCAATGGTAGGTCTAGCAGTGTCAATAGTGGTTCTAGCAGCGTCAATGGTGGCTTTAGCAATGTCAATGGTGGTTCTAGCAGTGTCGATGGTAGGTCTAGCAGTGTCAATAGTGGCTCTAGCAGTGTCAATGGTGGTTCTAGCAGTGTCAATGGTGGCTCTAGCAATGTCAATGGTGGTTCCAGCAATGTCAATGGTGGTTCTAGCAGTGTCAATGGTAGGTCTAGCAGTGTTATAACGGGTCTAGCAGTGTTATGGTGGGTCTAGCAGTGTTATGGTGGGTCTAGCAGTGTCAATGGTGGCTCTAGCAGTGTCAATGGTGGCTCTAGCAGTGTCAATGGGAGCTCTAGCAGTGACAAAGGTGGCTCTAGCAGTCTTAAAATTTGAATGCATAGAGAGAAGGTATAAATACTGTATAGAGGTAGAGAAGGTATAGATAGTGTATAGAGGCAGAGAAGGTATAAATACTGCATAGAAGAAGAGAAGGTATACATAAAGAGGCAGAGATGGTGTAAATTCAGTAAATAGCTGTAGAAGGTATAAATACTGAGAAGAGATAGAGAAGGTATAAATACTGTATAAGGATGGATTGTCTATAAATACTGTAAAGAGCTAGAGAAGGTATAAATAACTGTGAAGAGATAGAGAAGGTATAAATACTGTACAGAGGTAGAGATGGTATAAATACCATATATAGGTAGAGAAGATAAAAAATACTGTATCGAAACAGAGAAGGTAAAAAAATACTGTATAGAGATAGAGAAAGTATAAATACTGTATAGATAATGGTGTACGGAGGAATAGCAGCCATAAATATCAATGTACAGAGGTAGAGAATGCAGATGCAATGATGTATAGATGAATAGAGGGCATAAATATTCCTGTGAAGAAATAGAAAATGAAGATGCAAGCATAAATATTCCTGTACAGAGGTAGAGAATGGAGATTTAATGGTGTACAGAGGAACAGAGGGCATAAATATTCCTGTACAGAGGTAGAGAATGGAGATTTAATGGTGTACAGAGGAATAGAAGGCATAAATATTCCTGTACAGAGGTAGAGAATGGAGATTTAATGGTGTACAGAGGGATAGAGGGCATAAATATTCCTGTACAGAGGTAGAAAATGGAGATTTAATGGTGTATAGAGGAATAGCTAAATAAATATTGCTACACAGAGATAGAAAGGCTGCAGAATGTTGCAGAGGTGGATATACATAAATACTGTTCTACAGAGGTGAACAAAAATATGTAATGTTATACAAGAAAGCATAAATATATACAGAGGGGTACAATGCAAAAATATTGCTATATAGTAAGAACTAGCATAAACATTGTTGCATAAAGGTACAGAAGATATACTTAGGATTATATGGAGAAAAAGAAGGCAAAACAAGGTCTTAATGGTGGAAAAGGGGGGGGGGGGAGGGGTATGTCACAAAACATAAGGGTTCATAATGTTTGGAGGGAAAGAGAAAATAACTGAGATTTTTGGAAGAAATGGACATCATAAATAAAAAGGAATAGCTGGCACACACAAAAGCTGTGCAGATGAAAGTCAATAGGGGCATATACAGTCCATATTCTATCATATGATGAGTGTTAGGGTGAAGAGACAAGTAAAACAGTATTCTGCTTCACCTTTCAATTGATGTTCCATTCTGAATCATCCATACATCAGCAAATGTTCTGGCTACCAAGCCGACAGCAACTATAACAAGATACAAGCTCTGTGGAAATATGGAAGGCAGGTCCCAACTTTCAATCAACATGCTCAGTCAATAACTATTAAACATGTCACACAAACATGAGGAAGTCTGGGCATGTCACCCAACATAAGGTCTGGAACATGTCACACAATATGATGTGGTCTGGGACAAGTCACACAACACGATGAGGTCTGGAAAAGGGACATGTAAAACAACATAAGGTGGTCTGGAACATGTACATGTCACACAACATGAGGAGGTCTGGGACATGTCACACAACATGAGGAGGTCTGGGACATGTCACACAACATGAGGAGGTCTGAGACATGTCACACAACATGAGGAGGTCTGGGACATGTCACACAACATGAGTAGGTCTGAGACATGTCACACAACATGAGATCTGGGAAAGGGATATGTCACACCACATGAGGGAGTCTGGGACATGTACATGTCACACAACATGAGGAGGTCTGGGACATGTCACACAACATGAGGAGGTCTGGGACATGTCACACAAATGAAGAGGTCTGAGACATGTCACACAACATGAGGAGGTCTGTGACATGTCACACAACATGAAGAGGTCTGGGACAAGTCACACAACATGAGGAGGTCTGGGACATGTCACACAACATGAGGAGGTCTGGACATGTCACACAACATGAGGAGGTCTGGGACATGTCACACAACATGAGGAGGTCTGAGACATGTCACACAACATGAGGAGATCTGGGAAATGTCACACAACATGAGGAGGTCTGGGACACGTCACAATATATATAACGAGGTCTGGGACATGTAACAAAACTTGAGAGGTCTGGGTCATGGATATTTCATAAAATATGAGGAGTTCTGGGACAGGGACATATATAACAACATGAGGGGGTCTTGGATAGAGACATGTCACACAACATTAGGAAATCTAGGACTTGTAAACATCACACAACATGAGTAGGTCTGGGACATGTGCATGTCACATAGTATGAGGTCTGGGACATGTCACACATCATATGGAGGCCTGGGACAGGGACACGTCACACAATATGAGAAGGTCTGGGACATTTCACACAATATAAGGAGATTTTTAACAGAGACATATGATGAAAAATGAGAAGTCTGGGACAAGGACATGTAACACAAAATGCATAGATAAAGAAAATATGACATTATATTCTATATTCTGTATGGGAATCTCATGAGTAGAAGAAAACTTGAGTATATCATGATGGTGGGAAAGTTGGAGTGGATAAGATGCGGAGGGAGACCGAGAAAAGATGCTGGACAGTTTGAAACCATGGCATGAAAGAAATATCTGTGTCAGAACTGACTGAAAGTATACGAGACAGTTGTGGACAGACATGACTACAAACACCATATGGCATGAAAGAAATATCTGTGTCAGAACTGACTGAAAGTATACGAGACAGTTGTGGACAGACATGACTACAAACACCATATGGCATGAACTTTCAAAAGATCAGAAATAGAAACTAACTGTAATCTATCAGGGACAGACACTGTGTGTTCTGTCAGAGACAGTAAATATGTTACAAAATCTATTAGATAAGAAAATGTTTGTAATCTGTCAGAGACAGAAAATGTGTGTTCTGTCAAAGGTAGAAGTCAGATTTCTCAACCAACAAAGTATATGTATACAATAAAGAGTAAATAATGTTTTTTCACAAACAGGCAATATGTTATCTTACAAGCAGGGTAATGGTTGTCAATTCTCAAATAGGGAACGCTATTTACCAATGGGAAATCTGTTATTTCACAAATGGGAACTGTTACTACGGACTGTAACTTCACAAATGGGGAATATGTTATTACATGACTAGGGATGTTACTTCACAAATAGGGAATATGCTTTTACATAACTAGGGAATGTTACTTTATAAATCGGGAATATATTATTACATAACTAAGGAATGGTAATTTACAAATAGGGAATATGTTTTTACATAACTAGGGAATGCTACTTCAAAATAGGGAATATGTTATTCAATAACTATGGAATGTTACTTAAGAAATAGGCAATAAATAGGCATACATTATAATATTACATTAAAATACATTAACTAAAGAATGCTCCTTTAAAATTAGGAATGTTATTACATAACTAGGGAATGATACGTAACAAAAAAAAGGAATATTTTATTATATAACTAGGGAATGTTTCTCCACATACAGGGGATTCTATTCCTTAAACAAAAATGTCTGTTATGTGAGGATTCACATAATGTACACACTGACCTCAATTGTAAACACACCAGGAATGAGTATCTTCAAGATTCTCCCCAGACGACTGTGAACAGACAGGCACTGATGATAAACACTGAACTAAATCTGAATTTACAATAGTCATCATTAACTCTACTACACTGAACATTAATATATATTATAGGGCTGTACCGAATATTTGCTTCGTATTCGCTTCGGGGCTGAATAGTGGACCTACTGACTATTCGATATTCGTCCAAATAGTTGCGGTCGTGACGAATACGAATAATAGTTACCTTACACCCGCTTCTGCATACATTGCCTTAATGCTGACAACATGGAACGATTGGTTTTGTAGAAAGCTAATGCAGCTTTCATGCTTTAACTAAGCTATCAGTGACAATTTCCAAGTTTAGTTACTTGTTATAATACTTAGGATTCTTTCATTCCTAGTTATTAGTTACCACAGACTGACTGAAGGATGCAAAACATAAAATGTTTACTATTCTGTACGAATACTAACTAGACATGGAAAGAATATAAACTCCGGCCACAACCAAGTCGATAATTTAAAAATCAAACTAATGGAAACATATAAGTAGTTGGGTGCAAACTTTAATTGCTCCAACACGCTGAGAGAAGAAATACAATCTAGAATACAATCTAGAAATAAAGTATACTATGCCCTTCAACATCTGCTAAAGTCAAAGTGTCTGTCTCGCAACATCAAGATCAAAATAGATAAAACGTTGATAAGACCAGTCGTTTTATATGGCTGTGAAACTTGAAGCAGAAATAAAAGAAATGAGGCCTTATTACAGGTTTTTGAAAACAGCCTTATGACAAATCTTTGGACCCATCAAAGATGATAACAGTGGGGAATGGAGAGTGAGAAGCAACAACATAACACATAATATGTTTAAATCACCATTGATTACTGGCATCATGAGAGCTAACAGACTAAAATGGTTGGAGGATATTGAAATAATGTCAGATGACAGAGAAGTAAAAACTTTATTCACCTGAGAGAGGATTGGCGTAGAACACGAGGCAGACAAAAAAAGAAGTTAGAGAGATAATGTCCAGCAAGACCTGTAAACAACTGGTGTCACAAACTGTGAAGATAAGGCCAGCCAGAGAGCTGAATGGAGACGAGTGATATCTGCAGCAGTAAACCTCAAGGGCTCAGAATGCTAAAGAAGAAGATGACTATTCTGTGCTACCTTAAGTGAAGTAAAAGTTCAGCGTACATTTGACATTGTGAAGGTTTTTTTTAATAGATATATTTTATTCACTATACACTATTTGTATTCGTATTCGGCGGAGTAGTTGGTCCCGTTATACAAAATCACTATTCAGTACAGCCCAAGTTTAAATGACATAGGACGGCCGAGCAAACGATGGTTTTGAAAGAGGTGGGAGTGGTGACCCCTGGAAAGATCTGTGGAAGGAGGGATAGAGGAAGACAACGATAGAAGATTCTTGACAGTCTTTTTGCATGGCATGGAGGCATGTCAGCACACGAACTAATACATGCTGCAGCAAATCACAGATTGTGGCGTGGCATAATCGCCTACGCAGTCGGCAAGGCACCTGATGATGATATACTACTCGTATCTGTATTTGTATTCGGCCGAATAGTTGGTCGCACTATTCTTATTCGGCATAATATATTAGGGCTGTACCGAATAGTGATTTTCACAGCCCAAATATATTACTCCAAATTCACTATACCCCAATGAATCTGAATCTACATCAGTCAACATAAAATATCACTACACAATATGAATCTACAATAGTCAAAATTAACTTTACTACACAATCTGAATCTATAATAGTCTAAATTAACTTTACTACATTGAATCTTAATTTACAATAGTCAACATTATTGTTATTACACTGGATATTAATATATAATAGTCTAAATTCACTTTACCACAATTAATCTGAATCTACAATAGTTAAAATTAACTTTGCTTTACTGAATCTGAAGCTACAATAGTCAACATTAACTTAATTAAACTGAATTTAAATCTACAACAGTCAACAGAAACTTAACTACACAGTATAAACCTACAACAGTCAACATTAACTTTACTGCACAATCTAAATCTACAATAGTCAACATTACCTTTACTACACTGAATCTTCAATAGTCAACATTAACTTAGTTAAACTGAATTTAAATCTACAACAGTCAACATAAACTTTACTACTCAGTATGAATCTACAACAGTCAAAATTAACTTGACTACACAATCTGAATTTACAATTCTGGGTTGCGCCAGAGACACCCCAGTGGTGTGTATGCGATAAATCCTTGGTTTGCCGACTGTTGCAGGTAGGCACAAGGTGCTGCAGGTGAAGTCATATCTCATGCTCTGGGTGCAGTTAAAGGTCAGCGGCTCATAAGAGGGAAGTCATGGATGGCTCAGGCAGAAGACACAATCAGACAGGTTTGCATCCTTGAGAACATTAGGCGACGAGGTCAAAGTGCCACCTGAACAGACTTGTGTAGGGTCATAATCACACTGAGCCGGGAATGCAGAGACTGGCCAGCAGGTGCCACAGAGGTGGAAATTCAGCAAATTAATTCAAGATAATGCTTGCTCAGAAGACTTGATCATTTACACATACTGTTCAGTGTCAAGAGGCAAAAGAAGTGCTTGGGGTTTCTTAGAAAAAGTTAATGGTCAACATTTGGTGCAAGAGAGCCTAGCATATGATTCCACAACATCCAGCTTAAAATGGAGGTGGAGGCGGTTACTGCAGCTTTCCGCTGGTTAGAGAACACGACACACACACATCATGACTGTAACTGACTCAGAAAGCATGCTGAGGAAGATCAGGACAGGTATGCTTCAAGCAGAGTGGCATGCTTTGCTGCGGAGGACACAGGCGAGGAGTATTGTATGGATTTTTTCACCATGAGACGCCGGTGTGTTGGGAATTGAACAGGCAGACTAACTGGCTGGCTTTGCACAGCTTGGTGGAATACTGATGCATGATAAGGCAGACGTGGTTAGTTCCTTGTGGAAGAACGTGTACAGTTCGGAGGAGCAGATGGATAACCACAGTCTGGTGAGATTGATGCAGGGGGGTGACAAGAGGTTCTGGCAGATGCTTGAGTCTCAGAGGAAAGGCAGAACGGAAGTTAAATCAGAATGCTAATGGCACCATTAGTATCGGAATGCTTCGCTGGCTACTGAAAATGTGGACGGAGCGCTTATGGGTATGTCCCAAGTGCTGTGATGTCAGCTCTTGAATCAAATCAAATCAATTCTATGTCTGAGCATGTCTCTTATATCAGGGTCTGTGTCTGAGCAAATCTTTTATATCAGTATCTGTTCTGTGTCTGAGCATGTCTCTTATATCAGGGTCTGTATCTGAGCATGTCTAGTATATCATGGTGTGTGTCTGAGCTTATATATTTTATCAGGGTCTATGTCTGAGCATGTCTCTTTTATCAGGGTCTGTTCTGTGTCTGAGCATGTCTTTTATATCAGGGTCTGTGTCTGATCATGTCTCTTATATCAGGGTCTGTGTCTGACCATGTCTTTTATATCAGGGTCTGTGTCTGAGCATTACTTTTATTTCATGATCTGTTCTGTTTCTGAGCATGTCTTTTATTTCAGAGTCTATGTCTGAGCATATCTCTTATATCAGAGTCTATGTCTAAGTTCAGAGTCTATGTCTGAGCATATCTCTTATATCAGAGTCTATGTCTAAACATATCTCTTATATCAGAGTCTATGTCTGAGCATATCTCTTATATCTCTTATATCAGAGTCTATGTCTGAGCATATCTCTTATATCAGAGTCTATGTCTAAACATATCTCTTATATCAGAGTCTATGTCTGAGCATGACTTGTATATCAGGGTCTGTGTCTGAGCATGTCTCTTATATCATGGTCTATTCTATGTCTGAGCATGTCTCTTATATCATGGTCTGTGTCTGAGCATGATTTTAATATCAGGGTCTGTTCTATGTCTCAGCATGACTCTTATATCAGGGTCTATTCAGTGTCTGAGCGTGTCTCTTATTTCAGGGTCTATTCTGTGTCTGATCATGACTTTTATATCAGGGTCTGTGTCGAGCATGTCTCTTATATCAGGTCTATTCTATGTCTGAGCATGTCTCTTATATCAGGGTCTATTCTGTGTCTGAGCATGTCTCTTATATCAGGGTCTATTCTGTGTCTGAGCATGTCTCTTATATAATGGTCTGTTCTGTGTCTGATCATGACTTTTATATCAGGGTCTACTCTGTGTCTGAGCATGTCTCTTAAATCAGGGTCTATTCTGTGTCTGAGCATGTCTCTTATATCAGGGTCTGTGTCTGAGCATGTCTCTTATTTCAGAGTCTGTGTCTCGGCATGTCTCTTATATCAGGGTCTGTGTCTCAGCATGTCTCTTATATCAGGGTCTGTTCTGTGTCTGAGCATATCTCTTATATCAGGGTCTGTTCTGTGTCTGAGCATATCTCTTATATCAGGGTCTATGTCTGAGCATATCTCTTATATCAGTTCTTTTCTGTGTCTGAGTATGTTTGTTATATCAGTGTCTGTCTTGTATACCAAGGGTATCACCTGTACTGTGCTTAAGAATATATCTGGTACATGGGTATCACCAAAAACTAATTACTTACGCAAAAAACACAGAGTTGACCACAGCTTTCTCCTTTTTTTGTCCATGCTGAAACAGAGACAGCTCATCACTACAACAAAATCAATAAATTATCACTGGCTTTGAACAATCAAACAATCAACACTGGTGTAAACAATCAATCAACCAACACTGGCTGTGAACAATCAATCAACCAACACTGGCTGTGAACCATAAACCAATCAATGAACACTGTCTGTAAACAATAAATCATTCAACACTGGCTGTGGACAATCAATAAACCAACACTGACTGTAAACAATCAATCAATCAACCAACACCAGCTGTGAACAATCAATCAATCAACACTGGCTAAGAACAATTGATCAAAACTGTGAATAACCAATTAATCAACATTGGCTGTGGGCAATCAAGCAATCAACACAGGCTGTGAACAATCAATCAATCAATCAAATCAGCCAACACTGGCTGTGAATAATCAATCAACCATTCAACCAACACTGGCTGCGAACAATCAATCTACACTCTCTGTAGAAAATCAATCAATCAACAATGGCTCTGAACCATTTAACAATGGCTGTGAACCAATCAATCGATGCCGTCCAACAATTGACACTCAGTGGCTTGGTTGGTCAGCATAATGTTAGTCATCTTTGTTCTATAGAACAATCAGCACTCAGTGGCTCGGTATAACACTAGTCATCTTTATTGTATACAATAATCAGCGCTCTGTGGGTCAGCACATCTTTATTCTATAGAATAATCAGCGCTCGGTGGGTCAGCACATCTTTGTTCTATAGAACAATCAGCACTCAGTGGCTCGGTATAACACTAGTCATCTTTATTGTATACAATAATCAGCGCTCTGTGGGTCAGCACATCTCTATTCTATAGAATAATCAGCGCTCGGTGGGTCAGCACATCTTTGTTCTATAGAACAATCAGCACTCAGTGGCTCGGTATAACACTAGTCATCTTTATTGTATACAATAATCAGCGCTCTGTGGGTCAGCACATCTTTATTCTATAGAATAATCAGCGCTCGGTGGGTCAGCACATCTTTATTCTATAGAACAATCAGCACTCGGTGGGTCGGGCTAATGCCTGCATCTTTATTTTATAGAACAGTCAACATTTGGTGGATCGATGAGTCAACATAACACTAGCATCTATCCCAGGACATTTTCCTGGCAACCAATGTAGGCTAGCAGCTCCCTTCATTTATTATAAATCTGCCTCAATATAAATCCCCAAGACAGAGAGAGGATAAGTTCCCACCCAGAGAGAGAGAGAGAGAGAGAGAGAGAGAGAGAGAGAGAGAGAGAGAGAGAGAGACAGACAGACAGACAGACAGACAGACAGAGAGAGAGAGACAGAGACACAGAGAGAGACAGAGAGAGAGAGAGACAGAGACAGAGAGAGAGACAGAGACACAGAGAGAGAGACAGAGACAGAGAGAGAGACAGAGAGAGAGAGAGAGAGACAGAGACACAGAGAGAGAGGAAACAGTGTGTGGCACTGCTATATTTATTGGTAGTGGAAAAATGCAGTCACTTCCATGATGCTAGTCCATCACCATCAAGTGCCTTGTCAACTGGGGCAGGTGATCATACCGTTCCACAATATGTGATCTCCAACAGCATATCAGTCCAGAGATGTTTTAACGTCAACTAATCCAGTTAATGAATCTAGAGAGGTTTTAATGTCACCCAATCCAGTTAATCCAGAGATGTTTTAACATCACCTAATCCAATTAATTAACCCAGATCTTTTTCTGCCTTCTATTCCTCAATGGAGCAAAGGCCCTCAACCATGCCAAATTCTTCTATCCTTCGCTACAGCTCTTCCCATGTCCTCCCCGTCTTGTTAACTTCCCTCTCTAGCTCATTTCTCCATGTGTTTTTGCTCTGCCTTTATTTCTAGGCCTCTGTGGGTACCAGTGCAAAAACATTTCAGTTATACTGTTCTCTGGTTTTCTCAACGTGTGTCCTATCCAACACCAGCATCTTTTATTTACATCTGGATCTACTGGAACTTGTTTCATTCTCTCTCTCTCTTTATTCTGCTCAGGCACGCAGTTAGCAAGCATTTGTAGTTTATTACAATGGAGTGAAGCAGGGATGTGTACTTGCTCCTGCCCTCTTTGTAATATACTTCTCACTGCTTCTGAAACATCCCTTTGGAGATCAGGAGAGTGGTATATTCATCCATTCTCAGTCTAATGGTAGCCTTTACAACGCTCACAGGCTGAAGGATAAGACCAGGATAAAAAAGGTACTTTACTTATCAGAGAGCTGCTGTTTGCAGATGATGCCGCAATAACCACCCACTCAGAGGAGGAGCTGCAATGTTTACTATCTGCATTTGCTGATACATGCTGTGAATTTGGACTAACAATCAGCAAAAAGAAGACACATTTTATGGTGCAAGGTGTTATTGATAGACCTGTAGTCTACATTGGTGGTGAAGAGCTGGAAACAGTTGACCATCTTACTTATCTGGGTTCCACAGTAAATAAAATACTATCACTGGACCAAGAAATCAACATCAATATAGGTAAGGCAACAATAACAATGAGCAGATTAACAAAAAGAGTTTGGAAGAATAGAAAACTCATGATTAAAACAAAAACTCTATCTGTGCACAGATTGATCGGATTCATAGCTACATTTTTTTTCAACAGTGTATTTTCTAAGTATTCGTTTTCGAGAGCCATGAATACTGATTTTTCAACCACAAGTACAAGTCGCAGAACGCGTTTTTCTGCAGCCGAAGTTCTGAAATTATTTGAGTCAGATGTTTTTAATTCGGATAATGATAATGACAATTTTGATTTTTCTGAAAGTGATTCATTCAATGAATTTTCACCAGCGACAGTTGAGCGATCAGCTGTTGGGAATATAGCGATTCTGGTGAGTTTACACAGACAATGTCCAATTGTTACCGTATTTACGGTGTAAGAAAAGGAAAGTGCTCCAAACAAAGAGACAGTACTATACTATGGCTAAGCTACATTAAAATCATTACAGCTACAGTCTGTATATAACTGTACAAAATAGTAAATAATATGTGTGTAATGGCCCATTTTTCTGTCTAAAATTTTGCTCAGCACTCTGTAAGAATTAAGAGCCCATGAGTGTTAAACTAACCCAGAAACTTATAACTTTGGAATTTGTTAGGAAATTGAGCAAACTTTGAAGTTTTGTTCTCAAATTTAGATATTCATTACTCTTGTGGCTGCAAAACCATGGTAAGTGAAGAATTTTTTTGTAAAATATTATGAAATTACACCTGCTGAATTCATCTTTCCTACTAACTATAGTCGGCTCTGTGGCTAAGTCAATGTGAACGCTTCCTAATGCCGGAGTGCCGGGTTCCATCCCAGCTGCAGGCCATGTGCCTTGCGTTAGTTTTGGCAGTGGTATCAAGAAGCCGACCATCCAGAAAGCAATGGCAAACTACTGGATGTAAATTTGCCTAGAGAAACCACACAACAGCCAGGGGCTGCTGGGGTTGGTTCTGCAACGTCCTGTAAAGGATCGCAACTAACCTTGACTAACTATAACAAAATTAAACATAAACTTATCATCAGATTCAAAATGTACATTCATTTCTCTTTAAAAAAATATATACTTTTATAGAGATTAGAAGTATATTACATTCTCTATTGCCTTTCTTGTACACCACCCCCTCTGCTATTTTTGTTAGGGGAAATTAATTGTGGTCCAAGTCTGTGAAAATTCATGGGCCTGAAAGAGTTACCTCACTGCACATCAGACAAGTCCATAAAGCTTGGATCCGATCTTCAGTACATCACCCAGCGTGTGGCAACTGTAACACCAGTTCTGTGTTGGTTTTCTATTCTTCTTTGGCTACCCTTATAGTGTTCATGTTTGGTGATACTTCTTTTGACCTGAAGTTCTTGCAGTCTTTTGAGTATTGCCAATACAAAGTCGTCTCCTGAATCATTTCCCCATTCTGCATCCTTGAGAGCATTGAGAATGCTGGCCCGGTCTATTACTTTTCCTGCATTTACAGTGGCCCTGCCAGCAAGCCAATCCACTCGTTCATTCTTTCTTACACAAGTATATCCTGGTACAAAAATGAAACTAATTCCTTTCAGACGAGATTTCCTCAGCAACTTCAACCAATTTTTTTTAATCCATCTATCTATCTTTTTAAGCATGCTCAAGGAATCACTTAGAAAGCACTCATAGGGAAAACGCTGCGTCTCCAGCCACATCATTGCTTTTGTTACCGCCATCACCTCCATAGTCAGACTACCTTTAATCGAGGCACAAGCACTGCTATCTTCCTTTAGTTTTCCCTTGGACCAGAACCGTGAAAGCCCAAGAACTTTTCACGTGTCAAACGACAGATCTGTCAATGCAGATAACTGCACCTCTGTCAGCAGAATTTTCAAGAATGAAGGCTTGAACTTCTGCCTCAACAACCAACTGGCCTTGTTATCTGCAATATCTAGCCAGTTTTATGTAGACTAAAAAAGATGCACCCCACTCTGCTGGCACTCGTACCCATTTCTGGCTAGGTTCTATGTCCTCAGTTGAACAAACTTGTTAAATAGTGTCCTCAGCCTGACCCCCCCCCCCCCCCCCCCAGGATTTTTCCTCTTTTTAACCTGCTACCCTTCTTCCTGTGAATCTCACTGTGCAATGGATGGTGTGTATCAGCACTTATACACAGATACACACATGCTCGACAGATCACTGTTCTCACTTCCATGGTTGGAAGATCAAGGAGGTAACGCATCACTCTGCATGTTGTATTCTTTGTGCATCCAAGTATGATGCGCATGGCCTCATTCTGTATCTAATCTAGTCTGTATCTGATCTAGTCAGTCTATCTGTGTAGGGCTAAGAGTCAGAATCGTCAGAGCGTACTCAATTACAGAAAGGATCAGACCTTGGTATAATAAAAATAGGTGAAGTTGCTTACAGTCTGTCACAGAAATATTCCAGTGTTGTAAAACCTCCCTTTGCCTTCATTATCATGTGGTTAACATGCTCATAAAAAGCAAGACTACAATCAAAACACACTCCTAAATACTTCACTGAATGACTTCTTTCCATGATCTATTTAATGACCATGTTGCTCTGTTATTTTACGTAATGTGGCTATCTGGTCAGTACAGGATATCTAGCCAAAAACCTACCTGTTTATTTCTTAGCTTTTTATCAATATCATTTTTAGTCTATCCTAAATAATCCTACTTAATATTTTTCCGGGACCTGACAGCAACATAATTCCTCTATAGTGTTCACACTCCCGCAGATCACCAAATCAGCATACACCAAAAGAGAGTGACGTAGAGGAAGAGGTAGACCAAAAACAAGACGGGAAAATAACATCAGAGAAACTCTACAGCACTATGATGTGTCCTTGGTAGAAGCAGTCAGAGCAAAAAGCAGGACATCATATCTCTCTCGAACCTGGGGTAAAAGAGGATGTAAAGAAGAAGCTGATTACCCTTGGAGGAGGGAGGATGTGCGACAGATAACCTTTTATCTAGCATGTTGGTATTTCTTAAGTCACCAAGATTTTACTGAATAAACTGTGTGGCAATTCTGTAGATGTGTTTATATTGTCCTTGATAACTTCTACTGAAGATAGATAGATTTCCATATTTCCTCTTTAGATGGTATCCGACAGCAGAGAGTTCCATTTTTAAAGGGGCTGGTCTAGAAGTATTTCAAAATATTCAGCCCATCTGTCCATTTGATCCTTAGTGTTGATGAGTACCTTTCCTTGGCTATTTTTGGTTGATCCAGTTGGCTGACTACATTTATCTACTTATTTCTTTCTGGTACCATAAAGGTCTCTCAGGTTTCCTTTGGCTGCTGCTGTCTCCGCATCTTGGGTTAGGTCATCTAAATATTTCATTTTATCTGCCTCCTAACTTCCTTTTTTAGCTTCTTTGATTTTTCATAGCTCCAGCCTTAGCAGCTCTAATTTTGCTATTGTTTATGTCTGCCTATTTACTTTTCCTTTCTCCGATCATGTTAAAAGGTTGCAGGCATTACCCATGCCTTTTATATCCGTTCCTTCTTACCAAGGACTTCTATACAAGATTCATTCCAAATTCCCTTGATCTGTTTCCCGCAGACTTCAGCGCTTACATCTTTAACTAACAGTTGCAACACCTGGCACTTTTAGAGACTGTAACTGAAAACTGTTCCTTAACTTCTTTCTCCCTGAAACATCCTACATTATACTGGTTTTTCTTATTATAAGACATATATCTTTCAAGTTTTTACTTACCAAAAGAAAATGGTCAGTAAATACATTGACACCTCTAAAAGTCCTAACATTATACAGGGAATATTTAAAATTTTGTGTTTAGACAATTATGACTCATTTGGGTGGCTGTCTTGTGGTTTGGTGATTTCCATGTTGCCTTGTGATTTCTTTAATGTGGGAAAATGCTTCCACCAATAACATAGTGGTTTCCTGGGAAAAACTAATGAATAATTCTCCATTTTCATTCATTACACCTAGTCTATTATTCCCATTTTCTTTTGTTTAGCTGTGTTATCTGAACCTAGCTTAGCATTCAAGTCACCCATCAACCTTGTTATATTGCATTTTCTTTCATTATTTATAGTATTCTGAATTTGCATGTAAAATTTCTTCTTAAATGATTCATCTTTATCATTTGCTGGTGCAGAACATTGTATTACTGGCATATTCAAATTATGTTTAATTGTTCTAAATGATACTCTTATTATTTTAGGACTCATGGCTTCCCATTCTATTAGTGCCCTATCTGACTCTTCTAATAGCAACAGGACCACTCCTTCAATGTAGAGAGAATTTTCCCCTGTATGTCATGAAAACCAAATTGTTTCCCCTGAGTTTAGAATACTTTTCCTAGTTTCACATAATCATAAAATGCTAACCCTATAATGTTTTATTAACTCTACTTATTATCTACATTGTAAAAGTTTTTGTATTTCAGGTACCAATTCTGGAGAGTTTCCTATGTGAAGGAAGGTAAATCAATGATCTAGACCCATTATTCTGTTTTTATAAGAGCCTCCCCTATTCTAGCTGGCTGGGTTTTTCTTGTTTCTCTTTCTGAATTTTCCATGGTTTGTTGGTTTTTTTGTGGCTACTGTTTTTACAGGAGAGGTAGTCAACCTCAACCCAAACCTTGCCCTTAGTCGCCTCTCACCACATGCCTGGTAAATTTGGTGAACTCATATCCAGATAGACTAGTATCCTGACGTTCCACTTATACACACACACAAATTACCTGAGCAATGACCACCTTGACTTCTTCCTCAACTGCAACTGTGCTGTGGACAGCATTGTAAAGATATCAGAGTGCATCCACAACCCACAGAATTATCTAAAAGATTTGAAAACATTACTAGGACCACTTGTACAACCATCTTCAAGAATTGAAAACATTACAGGGTCTGTCCATTTTTACAATCATCTACAAGATTTGAAAATATTATATCCACGCACAAAATTATCCATCTATAACATGTGAAAACTTTACATCCATGCACACAATTATCAGCAAGATTTGAAAACATTACAAGGTCTGCTCATACAACCAGCTGCAATATTTGAAAACATTCCCAGGTCCACTCAGACAACCAGCGACAATATTTAAAAACATTACACGGTCCACTCAAACAACCCTCTACAACAGGACTATTCAACTGGCGGCCCGCAGGCCAAATCTGGCCCGCCGAGGCCTAGCAAGCGGCCCGCCGATCGTTTCCAAAATAGTGAAATGTAGTTATTAAAAAGAAAAAAATTAAATAAATAAATGCTTCTGTATAAATCTTCAAAAACCAGTCGTGTCGAATGTGTCAATAGGAAATGTTTGTAAGGGATCAGTAAATGATGAGATACAAGGGAACCGGCCGGCATAGGAACATAAAATGTAATTATCAGGGTAAAAATTTCCAGTTCACTCAGATTGCAAAACTCGCCTATTTGAAGCCAAAGGTAATAAGATAGGCTGGAACAAGTAGGAAAGCTACCGCTGCACTGGACAGTCAATCAATGTGAGATATTTATTGGACAGGAGGCATACAAAAATACCAGAACGGTCCTCACGGTTAGAGCTTAGATTGCAGAGAAGCTCTTCTAGTGGCCACTAGTACACACACTAATGACATTGGGCGCAGCAGAACATCAGTGACACTGGACACGGCAGAATACCTGCTAGTGATCTTATTAGCAGATTATAACTGGAATTTAATGGAACACCCAGTCACATACAAGTCACAGTCAGAAGTAGATTGCCAGATGTGATTGTACAGTAACAAACTGAATCAGTAACAGTGTTTTACATTATCTACTTTTAATAATTTAGTTAAATACTTGATAGCATGGCTAGCACTAGTTAGCGAGTGTCACGAGACGATCTCAGTGATTCCAGAAGTTAGTACTTGTAATAAGTTCTTCTGGTTCTAAAGAGACAGAATTATATTTACTCTGCGCTTTATCCTAATATTGCTTTAAACCGCACGGATTTAAATTGTTACCAGTCCTTCTTCGAGACAAGCCACTGCGCTTTGTTTAAAATTACCCAACACTACGTAATATAGCCCGCTGGTTCAGACTAGGGATGTTAGATTGCATTCTCACGCCAGTGTCAGAATGTTATCTCCTGACCAGACTGTAGAGACTGAGGGGGGCCCTTTTGACCAGGTAAATTGAGTGGACGCTAGACATTGTGGAGCCCAGAGGTCAGAGTTTCACACGTCAGTGTAATTCGGGGGAGAACAGTTGTGTGGCAATTAGGACTGTTTGATCTGGGTCAAGTAGGAAACACAATGGCTTCACTGAACGTCTTTTAACACCTGCCAGTTAGATTCGTTGTAAACTAGATTGGGTCCCTTAAGAATGTTTGCTCTAGGGATGTCAGTCCAGAATTGAGTGACAGGTCACTGGTTAGCCAAGTGATCTGATAGTTACCTCAGAGGCGGTGCTTAAGCCATCATCTTGAGGGTTGGGTAAAAACTAAGGAAAGGGAGGAGTTTAATTTGGACAATAGATTGATACTTATACTTCGAGCCTGTGGAATTTCCGTCATTAATCGCAGCCTGCCGGCAAACAACACAGATCGACCTAAAAGGTAAATTTTACGGTCGTATTCTGTTTTGGCGATTAATGGAAAGTTCCCAGGTAAGAGAAAATATTAATTTTAATCTTGTATACTTAGGTTAGGGAGTTAAGCTTTTAGTCTATACTACCTTTTCCTAATTTGTCTGCACATTCTGCTTGAAATAGTTCTTTGTGAATGTTCAGTATCTCAGTTAGGGAACTGCTAAACTATTCCTATTTCTTGTATGTTTGTGTCACATGTTTTTCATTGTATGTTTTCATGTGTATAAAATAAGATGTGAACAATGACGTTTGCTATAATGAAATGTAATTATATTGTTTTCACGATCAGCCAAAATATGAGTTTGGACTGTGGGAAATGATGCCCAAATATGTGCAGGGATGTTGCTACGTTTTGTGTGCCCACCATGTGCTCACTTAATGTGTTCACCTGAACAGGGGATTTATAACCTCAGGGGAAGAATGATGGGTGTATAGAATTCACTGTCACTGAAAGATAATATTCAGGACAGCGTGCACATATAAATTGTTTGCGTTTTCAGCACATAACCTGCGCCACATGTGTATGTCAAATCTATGTCAGCCAGTTGTTGGAAGTCTGAGTGATGACGGACAACAGACTTAGAAAGTCAACTATCATGACATAGCATGAAGAGGGAAGGCAGGATATGTGACGCCCATGTAAGACAAAAGACCTTCAGACTAGACTGGAGAGGATGTGGAATATGAGGAGGAGTGATGGGATATATTTTATTATTATATGTTGTATTAAGTAATACATGTATTCTTAGTGTAAGTCAAGATACTACACGTATGTGTTTTGTTTCCATGATTACAGCGCCCATGTGACGATCAGTCCATGAAAGAGACTACATTGTGTTAGACTCGGCCAGCTGGGAACGAGGTGGAGAACGAGGTGGAGAACGAGGTGGGGATGAAGTGGAGAATAAGCTGAAACAGGCAGACAACAGGCAAGGAAGAGTTGGACAAGCTTGACAGTTCCTCACGGCTGTCAGAGGCTTATAAGTTGAGTTAACCCCTTTATGTTAACCTATTATCATCATTATCATACCACTCTAACCCCCGAGCTGTTTTTTCTCGCTGAAGCTTACCACCATCATCAAGTTAACCAGTCACTGTTTGTGTAAATCAACAAACTGGGAATTTCATTGTAGTAAATAAAGCTGTATGTCAAGTTTTAAACTACATAGTTTGTTAAATTCCAAATGTCTGTTCTTACATGTTTAATTAAACTGTTAAGATAGATTACCATTTGGTGGGGGCTCAAATAATATAATAATTCTTTAATTATTAATAATAACACCGGGAGAAGGTAGATGACGGAGGAATCACTTGCCCTGTCTAATAATTCATTAACATTAAGTATGATAGACATCTAAAATTCCTTGCCTTCTCTTGTGGGTACCAAGTTCAGCTAATGTTAATATACTTAACGAGCCAATATGGCTGTTTTCTTGGATATCCAGAACTTTGTCTGAGAGCAACATAGCTCAGATTTTAGTTCGGTGTATCTAGTGGAGAGAATGTGTTGAAAGGAAGATCCCTACTCAACAACATAAACATTTAAACCACGCGTCACGTCACAGCGAGCAAAGTGGGAATGTGAAAATTGTGCATTCAACAGTGACTGGACACTGAAATATTTATTTATATCACCAACTATGCCTAATTCTAATCCAGTATGCTTGCTGTTTTATTTTCTCAACACTGGACTCGGCAACAATAAGCGATCGAATATATATTTTTTCTAAAAAAGCTTCAGAATAATTTCAACAACAGATTTGACGACTTCAATATCTTAAACAATGTAATGTTATTCGTTCGAGATCCTTTTAAAATCCCTCCTGCGGGTGATTTTTCTTCCAATGCTAAAAAGCTGTTTTCCTCTGTTGATGAAAGTTCTCTGCAGTTAAAACTTGTAGACATCCAAAATTCCAGCGCAGTGAATGAAAATTTCCAAACAAGTGGTACTGCTAAGTTTTGGTACGAAAGGATTCAACAGGAGTAGTTCCCGAATACTAGAAAAGTTGCCGTATTCATACTCACCATATTTGGCACAACTTTAACTTGTGAATCAAACTTCTTACACATGAATCCTGGACTAGAAGCCTGTCCTACTACTAGGCCCGTCCACCAGGTGGCGGATGGTGGAAAGGCCTCTAGATATAGAGGTTAGCCACGAATATTTGGAATAAGTGGCCATGGACCAAAACAGGTGATGTTCATTGAGAGGAGGTGAGTTAGTTGGTGGGATAGCTAACCCTATAAAATACCTCAAAACTTTATGACATGGCCTTCGGCGGGTAAGAGGTGCCACAACCTCTCCCCTCTGCTGCCTTGCAGGGTAAGTCTTTTTAGACAAAGGCTATTTGAGTCAAACCATATACAAACCGGTGGAAGGCAAAGGGAAACCACCGCTGTATTAACCCTAGTCAATCATGCCTCAAAATATTACAAATTCAGATAACGACGTGAATGGGGATTCCAGTGGAATCACCTCGTCTGGTAGGGAGCATCATGTTTTACGGGTGATACCCGACCGTCATCCAGCTACTGTAGAAAAAGTAAATGGTAGAAACATCCTAAACATTGGTATATGGAATGTCAGAACACTCGTACAAAACGGAAAGCTGGATAACATCAAGACGGAAATGAAGAGAATGAACATCAACATAATAGGAATTAGTGAAATGCGATGGCCAGGAGCAGGGGAAAAGTATTCAGATAAGCACAGAATTATTTACTCAGGTGGGAAGGAATACAGCAAGGGAGTTGGTATTATTTTGGATCCAAAGAACTCAAAAACTGTGAAAGGATTTTATACAATATCAGATAGAGTACAATTAGTAAAACTTCGTGGCAGACCGCTTGACATCAACTTAGTACAGATTTATGCCCAAACAGCAGATACTTCAGAAGAAAATATTGACACATTTTATGACGAGTTAGACATGGCTGTTGATCAATGTAAACATTGTGAAGTAACAATGGTACTTGGAGATTTCAACGAGAAAATAGGAAGTGAAAAAGTGTACGGAATAACGGGTGGCTATGGCCTAGGAGAAAAGAATGTGAGAGGTGACAGATTAATAGTGCACAGCATGATAATAGGTAACACCTGGTTTAAACGCCATCCTAGAAGATTGTGGACTTGGAAAAGTCCTGGTGACAATGTCCACAATCAGATTGATATTTTGATTTCAAGAAGATTCCGGAGCAGCTTAGTTGGAGCAAAAACTAGACCAGGAGCAGACTGCTTTAGTGACCATGTTCCAGTTGTAGGAAAAATTAGAATAAAACTAAAGAACATTAGAAAAACACCACAGAACATCAAGTTAAATTTAGAAATTCTTGAATGGATAACGAAATTAAGGAACAATACAATGTCATTGTACAAAACCCGTATAATGCAATGGAAATTATACAGACTACTGATGAACAGTGGGATATGCTGCGTGAGTCAACAATTCAGTAGACATCAAAAAAGACAATTGCACCAACCCATGGAGTTGCAAATAAGAAATGGATGTCAACCGAAATTCTGCAGTTGATGGATGAAAGAAGGAAGAAAGAGAATGATAACGAAGAATACTCTAGAATACAAAAAGAAATAGTGAACAAATGCAAAGTAGCTAAAGAAGCCTGGCTGAATCAAATGTGTACAGAGATTGGGGAAAATCACAGGAAAGACTCACATTCCATGTACCAACAGATAAATATGTTAACAGGAAAGAGACACAGATTTTTAAAATCAAAAGATGGTGACTTATTAATTAATTAACAGATGAACAGAGTATATAGGGGAATTGTATGATCATTAAAGACCAGATGTAGAACTGAAGACCAACAATGATGGTCCACCAATATTGACTGCAAAAGTTGAGGATGCAATACATCATATGAAGAAAAGATAAGCACCCAGGCCAGACAACATCTCACTTGAAGAAATTGAAGCACTGGGCGATTTTGGAATTGAAATAATAACTAAACTTTTCAATGATATTTATAATAGTGGGTATATCCAAATGACCTTTTAAAATCCATATTTATAGCTCTGCCAAAGAAACCAGGCACTTTAAAATTTGAAGACCATTGCACAATAAGTCTTATGAGTCACATGACTAAGATTTTACTGAGAATAATTATGTGAAGAAAAAGAAACAAAATTGAACCAGAAATCAGCAATGAACAATGTGGATTTGTAGAAGGAAAAAGTACAAACAATGCCCATATACATCCTAAGGACGTTGTCAGAAAGAGCTGTAGAAGTAAAGACTGATTTGTACTTATGCTTCATAGACTATACAAAAGCATTTGACTGTGTGAAGCATGAAGAAGTAATCAAACTGTTAGAAAAATTAAACATTGATGGAAAAGATCTACGATTAATAAAGAATATCTATTGGCAGCAAACAGCAGCTATAAGAATTAACAACTGTTTAGGTACATTTCAAAGCATAAAGAGGGGTTTACGACAAGGATGTGTACTGTCACCTGATTTGTTTTTAATATACAGTGAATATAAAATGAGATCTTTAATTGATATGCCCTGAATTGTGGTTGGTGGGCACAATATAAACAATTTACGTTATGCTGATGACACAGTCTTGATAGCAACAAGTCAGAAAGAACTACAGGAAATGATAGACATTGTGGTATTAGAAAGTGGAAGAATGGGCCTCAGTTTGAATATGGGAAGACAGAAGTAATGGTGGTATCTAAGAAATGAATTATTCCTAAATGTGTAATTAAAGTCGATAGTGTTATTTTGGGACAAGTACAGAAATTTAAGTATCTTGGCACATGGATAACATCAGATGGAAGATGCATAACTGAGATTAGAAACAGAATAGGAAAGACAAAAACTACATTTTAAAAAATGAAAAACATCTTGCGCATTATATCCTTGTCATTGAGAGTTAGAAAAAGAATACTTGTTTGCTACATACATCCAGTTTTAACATATGGATGTGAATCCTGGACAATCGGTAGGCAGGCCAAACAATTTCTTGAGGCCTCAGAGATGTGGTTTTACATAAGAATACTTAAAATACATTGGACAGCCAAAAAGAGTTACCAAGAGATTTTTAAAGAGGCGGGAGCCCGAAGACAACTTTTCACCGACATCAGAAGGAGACAGTCATAATTTTTTCAGCCATGATATGAAAGGAGGAAAAATAGAACATGCTGTGACCACCGGAAAGATTTGTGGAAGGAGAGATAGAGGAAGACAACGAGAGAAGATGCTTGACAGTCTTGTTGCATGGCATGGAGGTGTATCGGCACATGAACTGATACATGCTGCAGGAGATTGCAGATTGTGGAGAGGCATGATCGCCAGCCGGCGATGATGATTATTATTATTAGGGGAAAACCTAAAAAAGACATGTCACACTCATTCTTAGCTGCACAAAAGACACCCCATGCTGTATGTCTTGGGTTTACCGATGATGTCCACCAGATATAAAGTGGCACAGGTGAAGGCGTACATGAGAATTTCAGCAGACATCAACTACCTTCTGCACAGATCTTTTAATGACATAAAATATGTGTCTAAAAAGAGGCTTCTCCTGGATGGCTAATACAGCAGACATCCAATACCTGTCTAAGGTTGTTATAACACTGGAAGGGTACTAAACAAATCTGATACCTGCAACCACAGACATCGAGATAAGGGCATTTATGCTCAAGAGACATCATATTTTACATAGATGGATCCATGAAGCATGGATAAGGTCAGCACAAAGGATGGGGAAAAGAATAAAAAAGGACAATGGCACTTACCAGACAACTATGGGCAACAGAACAAGCCGCTACCCTTGCGGTAATTGTTTCAGACAATATGAATAGGCTTTAGAAATTTGCAACAGGTATTTTATGCACTAAATGTGCAGAAAGCATTTGATAGTCACAGTTAACCTGAACCCTCTGAATCTGCACATTCGGGTATGCAGGAGTAAAAGGTAATGAAAGAGCTGATATGGTAGCAAGTAACAGACCAAAGCAAATGAGAAGCTGTACATGGCTTCATCAGTGCTGTACAGACTAGGCTGAAGGACAATGATGAATCGCTGATGCTAACATGACTGTGTGACTTGGCAGTAAAGCTTGGTAAAGCACGTCTATGTCATAATCAAGGTCAAGTAGACATTGTAAGATGAAACCAACTCCTCATGGGAACAAAAAAGTAGAAGTACTTTGGAATGTGCTGCATGGGAGGACTGAGCACACATGAGAATGGCCAATGTGCAGTGAGGTCGACTGTGATAACATGACATTGTAACACCGCCACCACACAACCCTTTACTTTACAAGGCTCTCCTGTCAACTACGGCCGGTAGACAACAGTAGACAGCCGGTTAGCCGGAGTTCTGTCCCTTGGCTACAATGCAATTACGGAGTGGAGAAGGAGGGAACGAAACAATTGACACAATTACTGTGTGTTGGCAATAGACAGCATACAGTGCCCTGCTATAATCATACGGTTACGGTTTGGGTTAGCGTTACGGTTAGTGTCGCGGCATCTCGTCTTCGCAGAAACTCAACGTAGCAACCCAAACCCTAAACCTAACCATACCCCTAACCCAAACCCTACCCCTAACTGTATGATGACAGTAGGGCACTGCACGCTATCGCCAACACAGTAATAATGTCACTTGTTTCGTTCCCTCTAATCCACTCCGTAATGTGTCGCAAGAAGCGGTAATTGAACGCGGTCGTTTATTTGAGTCGCAGCGCGGGTTCTGCCAGTCATGTCGACTTCACTTTGTTTTTTTTTATTCGTGCCTTCTCCACTCCGTAATTGCACTGTAGCCAAGGGACAGAACTCAGACTAACCGGCCGTCTACTGCTGCCTACCGGCCGTAGTTTACAGGAGAGCCGTTTACAAGGTCCACAGCTTGGACAGGAGGAAAACTTCCCCCACAAGTGAACACCTGGCAAATCTCCAACAAATTTTGTAGAACACTGACATGCGTAGATGTCTAACCCGACAGTCTAAACTATGTGATGTGACAGTTTGTGTCAACTGTCAGTCACTGACTGCTGTCTTTAGGTGGCTTGACTGATTCAATGATTCAATCAAATCAGTTCAATCACCGCAAATAATAAACTCACTGCCAGTGTCATATATGTTTAATAAAATAACCATGACAAATCAATAACTTCACATAACATCACTCAATAAACCTTTTCTTCGTTTTTCCCAGAGCTTGCTTGTAAATAAGAAAGGCTGCGATGCCGGCAGCGGTGAACAAGGCAGAGTTGCGAGGCGTGACAACTTGTAGAAGCTTGCTGTGCGCCGCCATGATGTCCAATGATTGTTAGAGTTAGAATGGAACGGGTGTGGCTGACGTCTCTCGACGCTGAAGTCTCTCTGTGTTTAATCCTGAATTACAAAATACCAACACGTTCAGTTTACATAAGGCTACTGCTGTCAATTGTAACTATTAATAATACAGTCCGCATAAACCTGTTATTATTTCATATTGTTTGTTCCGTTAATATTGTGTTCCGGAAAATAAAAACCACCAGATCAAAGTCCGACATTTTGGAATTGAGCCAGTTTTGTTGGCCATTTGGCCACAAATCTAGCTACTGTTGGCTGTAGCCACAGGGCTGCCGATTTCATTCTGGAAATAGAACAAACTTTTTTTTTTTTTTGAAAAGGTAAACACACCAAAATAGTACATTTTTAATTAAAAACAGTTAAAACGTCTTAGAATTCACACACACACATACATACACACACACATATATATTTATATATATATAAATAAAACTGCCTTACGTGATCAGAAAGAGATTGGTGTACAGAAATGAGTGCTGTCATCCACCGAGAAAAGGCGTCTCTTTTGTGATGTTCTCTTGACAATTGTTAGAGTTGATGTCACAAGTATACACTAATTTAACATTTAACAGATGGTTCAGTGTCAAGAGGTAAAAGAAGTTCCTATGGGTTTTTTAATAAAAGCTAATGGTCGATGTTTGCTGTAGAAAAACGTAGCATATGGATCCGCAACATCCAGCCTAGGAATGGACGTGGAGGCGGTCACTGCAACTTTCCGCTGGGTAAAAACTACACATTCATCGTAATTATGACTGACTCAGGAAGCATGCTGTGGAAGGTGAGGTCAAACAAGCTTCGTGCAGAGTGGCTTGCTTTGCTTTGGAGGTCAACAATGACGAGCATTGTCTGTATATTGTCTCATGAATGCCAGTGTGTTGGGAAATTAATAGGACAGACTTGCTGGCTCTGCACAGCTTGGTGGAATACGGATGCCTGACAATGCATGCGTAGCTTAAGGCCTTATGGGAGCACGTGTACAATAAAGAAAAGAAAATGTATCATTACTATTTGGTGAGAGCGATGCAGCGGAGAGTGACGAGGGGATCTGACCGGTACTCAACGGTCAAATAAAAGGGAAGACTGACATATAATCGGATTGCTACTGGCACTACCGGTATTAGAACTCTGCGTTGGCTGCTGAAGATGGGAGCGGGGCGCTAGTGGGAATTCACGGAGTGCTGTTATCTCGGTTCTTTAATAAAGTAAACTTAGCTCAATTATTTAGCTGTTATGTCAAGTCTCTTTCCATGTTGTCCAGTCAATCTCTTTGAATCAACTGGAGAAGACTCGTATACAGGCATGGGGGAAAACAATTTTACTGTCTTAAATTTTTCTTCCTTCATGCAGTACTGTCGCAACAATAATCGCTGCTCTTAAGTTTGTTAAGAGTGTCCCGGAAGCACTTGTCTTTTTCACTACGGACTCATCTTGCAGCATGGTGACCGAACCAGCCCCTCCGTTGTTGTTTCTTTTTCCCCCTCCAGTATCCATCAGTGAATGTATATGATCCATTCGGGTTTTGGATAAAAGTTGTGGACATGTTCAAGAGTCTTCGTTTTCAGTAAGTCACATTCTGGCCAATTTGTGACTGTATAATTGGGTTATAGGTCTGTGTTGTATGCCTAATCATTTCCCACTTTGAAAGGTCTGTAGAAAGTATGACGCTGTTTTCGGCGTAGAACCATTTTGATAGATGGTGGGAACTTTATAGTATAGTCGATTTTTTTTAAAGCTGTTATTTTCTGAATGGGGTTTTGTTCATGAGTTTAAATTTTTTTTTTTTTAATCAAGAAAAATACCTGTTTCTTCCCTTAGATGGCTTAAGCTCCAAAGGCCAAAAGTTGCCTTCAGGTCAAATACTGACGTACTTCTCATGCTTCTACTTTTGATTCTGAAACTGATGTTTTGATTTTGCTGCAGTGGAGTATGCTGCCATGTCATACTCGAGTTTTGGTTATACGTATCCTGTATATATTTGTCGCAACGTGTTAGCATCTGCAACCCAGCTTATTTCCCCATAAGTCTGTCGGAGGATGGCTTTCCTTTGAATGCACTGTGGGAGCTCCGTATAAGTCTTTTGTGAATTTGACACCCAGATATATGGGGCTGTGACGCATGCGGTCGGGGGTGCCCCGAATGCTGTCAAGTATCTTGGGGTTTTGTATATATAAATGTCAGTCCTCCGACCTATACACTGGATTTTCTACATCCACTAATTATGCCGCTCACTTTCCTTGGCATGTCACATGCTGATGGTGATCATAACTGAAGTAAAGGATGGCCAACCCAACAAAAGCACCACTATATTCCAGGCAAATGTACAAATTAACATATCCTATCGTAACAACTAAACTTGCCCACGCGCAATGTAATACACCACGTCAAGTATGATCTTACAGTACGATCAGAGACATGAATCGAGACATCAAACTACAGAGACAGCACACAAGATACATGGATCCATGGTTAACAGGGACTCATTAGATAAAACACTTTTGAGATGTTAGAGTCGACGTTTAAGCCAATCATTACTACCAAACAGCACTAGAAGCCAGGTGGCATTTACAGACACTAGAACCCGTTAAAAAAGTAACTAGAGATGAAGAACACAACGCGACTACAAGAGTTTGTAACCATAGAGCGAACACTGCGCCATTCAGAATTTCATTGATGTTATTTGTGACATTGCTGAAGTATCACAATAAAGACAGTATATAAAAGAACAGTTGTTTACAGACATTGTATTTTTCAAGCATCAAAGTCACGTGAGAAGCATGCAGCAAGCAGGACATCATCATCACGACACGACCATCCTTCTCCTCTCCTGGTAATCTGGTAATCCTAGTTTCAGCTTCATAGCAAACGGGTCACCCCATAGTTGCTCCGCTCCTGTGCCAACGAAAAACATACGTAGCTCACAGTGTCATGCCATGCACTCAACTCAAAAGCTGGGCGACGAAACTATATCCTCCCAGTCTACAAATGGAGCAAAAATGCAACGGCCACCGTCTGGCAGGGAAAAAAAGGTGGCCGTGCCTAGCGTCCATTTTAACCTGAAGCATTATGTGAGGGTTAATAAACGGTCACTCCAGCAGTACCCTCATTATTAGCTGGGGAAGGGACTTAGGACATTACATCCACCAGCAGGCGTCGCCCCTACGACGACCTGCCTGCCTTCGTTAACGACTGTTCACCCAACAGCCATGCAGTTCTTTGGCACAAAGGAGACACCTTGAACTCGGGTTTCGGACTGCTGACTCCCTACAAGATGTTATTTTATGTTTTGTTATCACACTTGATGTCACTGCACATTGGGCATACCCATGCGCGCTCAGTTCTCTGAAGCAGCAGCCACTCCAAAGTACTTAAAAATCCAAATATTAAGAGCTAGGAAAAAACACATCCTCTCAGTAGGGAGACCGAGCAATTGTATGACCCTTTCAATCTACTCCTCCTGTAGCAAAACTAAAGACGAACCTGTGTGTGACATCAACGTACGCAAAATACAAAGCTGTGCTACAATCTGTTATATCTTAACTTTAAAAAAAAAGTTGGGGGGGGGGGCAGCGTAAAAAAAATCGTTAAATCGGAAAATATATAAGATAAACATATACATTATAACTGTAAAGAAATATTACAATGCAAATTAAAATACATATACTATACACAACACATCTGGTAATATGGTAATAAAATGCACTTCATCATGGATGGTAGCACTAGCAGAAGTCACCAACAGATCAGCAGGTGCACACGAGATCAATTTTAATCACATAATGGCACCACCATTATTGCCACCGGCATCGCGCCATTTTATGAATCTACAATCCACACCACCACGTTGATCAAAGTCCAAAAACATTCCAAATGAAATCCGCAGCTCACAGTGTCAAGCCATGCACTCAACTCAGAAGCTGGTCAACGTAACTAACTATATCCTTTTAGTCTACAAATGGAGCAAAAATGCAACGGTCACCGTCAGGCAGAAGCAAAGAATTTGCCACGGCTCAAAACATGCCGTGTCTACCGTCCATTTAGACTGGAACAACACATATAGTTTATAACACACATTAGACAAATTAGACAGTCAAATATACATACAATACATAACACTTATAACATGTAACACATATTTGACTGGAATGAATATTACAAATGACACCACAGGTTACATGAATGTATATTAACGAAGCATGGGCCGAATAACGAACATAGCAACAATATACGAGCACAGCAGACCGTAATGTTCTATTATTTACGTGAGTGACGTTTTTCTATGTGATTCAAGGAATGATCTGTATGCTGGGTGGGTTTGGTCATTGATAGCTCTGATGGATAAATGTGTACTAAATTCCCTTCTTTAAAAGTGCCGAGGCATAATTCCCACTGCCACTTCTACAGCCTCTTTTGGTGTAGTTCTGGATGTACCTTCTATGATGAATAGCGAAAATATGGGGGTGACTGCAGTCAAGCTTCTTCTTCTTCTTTTGTCAAAATCTGCTGGTGCCGCTAGGCGTCGCAGTCTATCAGATGATCGGCAACCGAGCCAGGGCGCGCTCAGTCGCTTCATATGCCGTGATGTTATGAAGTGTCAAGTTGTCCGTGACTCCTTCAATCCCTCTTCTTCTTGGTCTTCCCCTGCCTCTTGGTGTTTCGATTTTCATGTTGTATGCTCTTGATGCTGGCATCGTTGGTTCCATTCTCATTAGGTGACCAAACCATTTCATTCTTTGCTTCTCAAAATATTTAACGATGGGTATGGTTCCAATAGTTCTTGTAATCACAACGTTTCTCACTCGATCTCTTCTGGTTTTATTCACAGCCATTCTCAAACATCTCATTTCACAGGTGGTTAGTCTTCTCTCGTGTTCTTTTGTTAATGTCCAAGTCTGACATTGATAACCTAATGTCGGTATAAAGATTGTATTTATAATTTGTCTTTTTTATCTCAGCTGGGAC